ATGGTACCGCAGTCACACATCAGGAATTTGAAATGTTGGGTTTACATATTCTTTAAGTATATGGCAGGGATGTCAAACTCAATTTCATCGTAGGCTGCATCAGCATTATGGGTGCCCTCAAAGGCCCGGCTGTATCTGGAAGACTAGATGTCCATCTTACATCAGATTTTAAAAGCCCCTGTGACGATCGCGCGTCAGACCCCTGACCTTCTCACCAAACTCGTGACCGAAGGACTAGCCAATCTGAAACTGCGATGTCACGTGCGTAACAATGCCATGCCCAGATGCACCCTGCACACACCGATTTTCCGGCTAATTGGACCACAATCGATGCACCTGCAGCCTGGGAGCGTTTGTTACTGGGTCAGGTTAATTACGCAATTAACCCTCCACACTGCCACCACCTCCTTTTTGTACAGAGAAAGAGGAAACTCAGCAATACACTAGGATGATTGGTTAATCGTCGGTATACCGCTATCTCCACAGACAGGTTATACAGAGGGTTAAACACTCATAGTAGCGCTCTTCAGCGGCAGGGATTCGTAAGTCACAGTAAAGAGCTATAGAAACAGTTCAACACTTCCAGAAAGTAAGATTTATTACTAAAAGGTCAAAAGGGTGCAGTAGAAATATTTACAGAAAATAGATGTAACCAATATATATATATATATATATATATATATATATATATATATATATATATATATAAAAAATACAGAGCACAACTGCACAGAAAACAGATAACAGAAAGAAGTTTAGGTAAATAAGTACTTGCCAAATAGATGCCTGGAGTTAAACAGTTTCAAGTCTGATGAGGTAGAAAGGGATTTCTGGTCTCGCACTCAGTTTCGTTGTTATAGCGAGATTCCCCTTTCTCTCTGTCTGCTAGATGATAAAACTCAGAAGGTTCTCACTTCCCTGTCTACAGACAAAACATAACAGCCTCTTTTTCTACCCAAAATCAACGAGGTGTCTCTTACAACAGAACTCAATTGCCTTATTTGGTAAAAGGATTGTATAAAGGCAGGGACTAGCAAGGTACGCTGAACGCATTCCTGAGGGAGGGGGGAAATCAGAGGAGGGAGACTGATTTGGAATTTAAGAGAAATACCAAAATGCAGAAGTCTGGAGCAAAATGGAGAACTGTGCCTCTCCCTGTGTGCATGATTGTTACAGCCCCCACTATCAGAAGTCAAAAGTCCCCCACCCTTTACATTACAGTGCACCCCGTTATCTTGTGCTGCTACCGGGAAGAAGCTGGGGGTGGAGCTGGAAGAAGAAAGTCCAGGGTCTGGAAGAGGACCAGAGAAGTATGCTGATTGCTGAGACCAGGGGAGGTGAAGACAAGGGGGTGCTATGGCTGCACAGAGAGGTGCAGGATCTGTAGGAGGAGTTCTATCCTCCTCTCTGCTGCCGACTGCTGAGACAAGGTGGAGTGGAGAGGAGAAGGGTGCTGCAACTGCAGGAGAGGCATGAGGGCCACATGAAATGGCCTGGTGTTTGACACATAAGATTAATGTTGTGTTATTTATTTTTTTTATGTTGATTTGTTGGCTTTTCTATGCAGTGAATTATTATTTTGTAATAGAATACTACTCTGGCTGGGTCTCTGCCCCCCTTTCCTCCTCCTGTCAGCTATTCAGTTTAACCTCAAGATAGGATTGTGTGTGCACTCTCTTCCTTCTCTATCATAGCAACAGTAATGGACCAATCAGCAGTAAGGAGGGGAGAGCCAGATGTTCCTGCAAAAGGATTCATCTCAGCGTGGGAAAAAGAGAGTGTGACAGGAGAGGTATGTGACAGGGCCATGCTGAGGAGCTCCATTTTAACAGAGAAATAGCCTGTGTCAGACGTGGATTCTCCTCAGAGTGTGACAGGAGCTGAGTATGACAGGACCATGTCAAGGAGCTCCACTTAACAGAGATATAGCCTGTGTAAGATGTGGATTCTCCTCAAAGTGTGACAGGAGCTGAGTGTGACAGGAGCTGAGTGTGACAGGACCATGTCAAGGAGCTCCACTTTACAGAGAAATAGCCTGTGTCAGATGTGGATTCTCCTCAGAGTGTGACAGGAGCTGAGTGTGACAAGAGCTGAGTGTGACAGGACCATGTCAAGGAGCTCCACTTAACAGAGAAATAGCCTGTGTCAGATGTGAATTCTCCTCAGAGTGTGAGAGGAGCTGAATGTGACAGGAGCTGAGTGTGACTGGAGCTGAGTGTGTCAGGACCATGTCAAGTAGCTCCACTTAACAGCGAAATAATAAATAGCCTGTGTCAGATGTGGATTCTCCTCAGAGTGTGACCGGAGCTGAGTGTGACCGAAGCTGAGTGTGACCAGAGCTGAATGTGACAGAAGCTGAATGTGACAGGAGCAGAGTGTGACAGAACCATGTCAAGGAGCTCCACTTAAGAGAGAAAGAGCTTGTGTCAGGGGAAGCCCACTGCCATGTCTGGGACTACCAAAGGCTACAGATTGTGACCAGATTTAATGGATGGATGAAGATGCTTACCAGAGTCACCACAGGCAACCCAGAGTGAGTGGATAACTGCTGCTGTGGGATCACTGCTGCTGTGTCACTGGGTCTGGTAAGAAGGCCTTGTAGCCACTATTTTTTACCACCTTAGAAACTGAGCTATTAGGATTTACTGGGCTACTTGTTACCACCACAGCTGTGGAAGTTCATTCTTCTTGTCAGTAAGTATCTGCTTGCTTCTATGATGTACAAGCAGACAGATACACTGACAGGTCTGCAGGAGACCTGCATGGCACCATTGATCTGCTGATCGCTGGTGCAATGCTTTAGAGGCTCCAGAAACAAAAAATAATATATGCACATTTTTTTACCTGCAAAAAAATGTGCATGTATTATTTTTTGTTAAAAGGTGAACTTATCCTTTAATTTTTGCAGTGAAATAATGAAACAAGGGTCAGATTCCTAAGCATCTTTTGGCTCTATAGTAAGAGTAAAGCACTCCCTTCTAAATAGAAAGGCAGATATGGATTTTTTTAGATTAGGATTTTTTTGTACCTCACAGAACGAGTGCCACATTTTACATTTTGTATTTTACAAATATTCGGGCCTGAAAAAAAATCAGTTTTATAATGGATGATATTTAAATGAAGGAATTTGTTTTACTTGTTTTTTTTGTAATCAACGTTATACTGTTCCAAACAAAAGAGAAAGCACTTTAGAAATAGGCACATCATTCAATATAAAAAGTGGAACTTTAAGTAAAAAGACATACTATTTCCAAATGTCGATTTGTAACAAAACAAATTGCACATGTCCAGCAAGCACCAACACTCTCGGTACTGTGCCCCAACACTATTCTAAAGCTAGGTTTACACCTAGAATCTTTACGCATAGGGCAGTCCGTTCATTTCAATGGGCTGCCCTACATGTGACAAACATGGCAAAAAGCTTCTGTACTTTTTTTTTGCTGTTGAACTTTGCACATTTTTTAGACCACACATTTTGGCATGCTTATTGCATATTTTAATGTTCATCTGTTTGCTGTGTTTGGTGTACTATTAACAATGAATAGCACCAAAAGCATGGCACGCATTTTTTGCATATTGTTAGAATTGCTTACATCTGAGCGATCCATGAACACATGTAAAACCATGCATTTTCGCATGCATTCATGGAAAGTATGAAAATATATGTGTAGCGCTTGCACAGCTTTTCATTGTTAATGGCACCCCATATGTGGCAAGTAAACCCGCATATTCTCACACTTCAAAATGTTTGAAAAATGTGTCAGAAAATACTCTGTAAAAAACGCGTAAGGTTCATTGCCCAAAAAGGTGCATGAGCTTCTTTGGCGCATTTGTTACACATAGGGCAGCCCATTCAAATAAACTGACTTTACAATGCATGCAGCACGAAAACGCTCACAAAAAAAAGTGAGAAGTCGAGAAGAACTCGACTCTAGGTGTGCATCTCGCCTAAAGGGAGTCTAGCATACCCTATTATGTTACTCACTTCCACATAGGGTTGCCACCTTATCCCTTTATAACCGAACACATATTAAAGTGTTACTAAACCCACAACAGTAAAATCAGTCTGTATATGTAGTAAAGCATGCTTGTTATACTCACTGTGGAACCGAAGGGGTTAATCCTCTGCACTATGTAAAAAGGCTGTGTGATCCTGACTTCTCTGATCCTACCTTCTACTGTCCCCAATCTATCTGCTGATAGAACTGAGCTTTGGGGGCAAACGGCTCATGCTCAGTTTGGTGTGTATTGCTAGAGATTTTTTTTTCTTTGGGAGAGTGCATGTGATCAGCACAGGGTCAATTAGCGCTGTTCAGACAGAGGGTCAGGGGTCCTGCAGCCTCACAGGACAATCAGGGGAGAATGAAAACTCCTACAAGCTTTAACCGGTGCTCTGCTGGAGACTAATAGAAGTCACAAGACTGCTCTATAATGCTGATGAGAAAAGGTATTTAGCAGTTTATATTTACTAAAATAATTGCATTTCCTTGTAGTGTGTACTGTGGGAGACCAGTTATAGAGAATGCAGGGTCCTGGGTTTAGTAACACTTTAATTGCACAGGTTTTGTGGCTGATTACTGTGGTAATTAACCACTTGCCTACAGGTCACTTAAACCCCCTTCCTGCCCAGGCCAATTTCCAGATTTCAGCGCTGTTGCACTTTGAATGACAATTGCGCGGTCATGCAACACTGTACCCATATGAAAGTTTTATCATTTTTTTGTGACAGACAGAGCTTTATTTTAGTGGTATTTAATCGCCTCTGGGTTTTTTATTTTTTCTTAAACAAACCAAAAACCACTGAAAATTTTGAAAAAGTTTTTTCTTAGTTTTTGTTATAAAATTTTGTAAATAAGGGATTTTTCTCCTTCACTGATGTGCACTGATAGGCTGCACTGATGGACACTGATAGCTGGCACTGGTGGGCACTGATTAGGAGGCACTGGTAGGTGGCACTGATGAGCATTGACAGGCATCACTGATGGGCACTGAAAGGCAGCACTCATATATGGCCCTGATAGGCGGCACTGTTTGGCACTGTTAGGCGGCACTGATAGGCGGCACTGATAGGCAGCACTGACGGGCACTGATAAGCGGCACTGATAGGCACTGATAGGTGGCACTGACTGGCATTGATGGGTGACACTGACTGGCAGCTCAGATGGGCACTGATATGTGGCATTGATGTGGCACTGAAATGTGGCACTGGCAGGAGGCATGGATGAGCACAGGGGCGCTGCTGGGGCTACACAGATCATCAGGGCACACTGGTCATCAATGCTCTGATGATCTGTGTAGATGTCCCCTCCGAGGAATGCCAGTTACCGGATCTCCTCTCCCCCCTCGAGCTGTCAGCGTGACAGCTCGTGAGGAGAGAAATGCCGATAACCAGCATTTCCGTTTCCATGTGATCAGCTGTGATTGGACACAGCTGATCACATGACCGAGCCGACATCTTCGCCTCCTTGGATTGGTGATCCGCTGTGTCCGAGGAACACAGCGCCCTGCCGATCGCCACGCGCTCCCGAAGCCACGCATGTGCGCTGAGAATGGGAGGACGTCATATGACGTCCTCCCAGAACGAGAGAACCACCTTGCGTCCGTCATATTACTATATGGCGGGCTGGAGGCGGTTAAACTCAGTGCCTTATGTGTATTAAATTAGCCACAGAACCTGTGTAATTATTATGCGTTTGGTTTTAAAGGGATGAGGTTGCAACCCTACTTCCACAGTTGCTGTGAAAACTACTTGGTTGTGATGCCAATAACAGGTGATTGATGTCAAGTCCAATACAAACCTAGCCAACCTGCTACTTTGGACAGTAAATGAAAGCAGCTTCCTGATAGCGCACCTCACTTCCCCAAGGTGGCGCTGTAAAGTACTGTACACTTTCAAACCTTCCAGCCATAAATGACGTAATCTTCTTGTAGTAAGTACATAGATGAAGACAGTTGTACCAATTCATGTCTCACATCCTGGTTCTACGTTTCTCTTTAATTATTAACGCGTCTTCCATTACCTTGAAGACCAAACGATGTCATACAGCGAATGTGGTATTCACAAAAATGGCGCCTGAAAAAGGGACAAACTCTTCAGACAGGCGAGAGGATATGACGGAAAGCGGACAGGAAACGCAGCGTTTTGTTGTAATTGGAGGTCACCGCGCATGCCTGTAGGAACAGCTGAAGGCTCGGTTCGGCGGGTGTCTTACTGGTGGGTTATTGAATCTGTCGGGTGTGTCACGGTTGGGGGTACAGTGTGGGCGGACAGGGGGCTTCCCTTCCATTTCCATGGGAGGCTTCTCCTAGCAGCCTGTCCTGTGTGAGTGGAACTTTCCTGGCACACACTGAGGACACATGCCAGGTTTGTCCTTTAGAAATGTCTAGCTTTACAGCAATGTTTTTCATCCTCTTTGTAGTCAAACCCTTTAGAATTGCGCACAACCACAAGGCACACCAGTCTGATGTGCGTCCAAGCCTGGGCGCTTTTCGTGCGTTTTTCTGTTTTTTTATTAGGCTTGTGAAACACAGAAAAAAAGGTGCTGCCATGATTTTTAAATTGAGCCCCACCAGAATACCTGGTACCGCGGTATCATACATTTAAAGCGGAGCTCCACCCAAAAGGGAAAGTTTCACTTTAAGGACTGGTCCACCTCTCCCCATGAAGATTTGGCACCTTTGGGGAACGGGCACTTGATTTTGACAGGTACCCACTCCCACTTCTGCTCTGACTGCCTAGGCAATCGAACGTTCTCCTCCCTCCCCCGCAGTTTTCTGACCGATCCCTGAAGACTGCAGCACTGCTCGCACATGCACAGTGAGCACCCGGCTGTGAAGTCACAAGCTGTCACAGCTGGGTGCCCAGACATAAGATGCCAGGGACAGAAGACGGTTGGTCAACCCAGCTGTCTGGATCATGGGACAGGTTAGTGGCTGTTTTTTAATTTTTTTTCAGAGGAGACTGGACAACCGCTTTAAGTGGGTGCAAACAAACATACAATTGTTGGATGTGTGGGGATGCCAGTAAGACTTCATGGCACCCGTGCGCACTGCAAAAGACCATGCATTTTTTGTGTGGTGCGGAAAAACACACACCATTTCACATGCTTTACCATACTGCAACCCAAAATGCCCTAAAAAGTTTTGTAAAGAGTTAAGTGGTCAGTAGGTTCCCCCCCATCCCTCCTGCTAGCACAACCTGATAAAAAAAAATCCTCCGTCTGACAGAAACCGCCCTTCTTAAATCCCCCCTTTAAGCACAGCCACCCCTGAACCCCATCTTTGCCCTTGCTACAGCAAAATGACACAAAGCCCTGTACAGTCCGAGCATGAAAAAGTTACTGTGTTAAGTTCTGTGTACAGAGAGGAGGGAGAGCCCATCCCATTCCTCCTCTGGGCTGGGGAAAAGATGCTGGCCAGGGACCTCCCAGACTTCAGACCGTTGGAGAAGAGGTAAGTACTGCAGACCTTAGTTTAACTTTAAAGTGATGCTAAAGGCGTTTTTTGTTTTTTTTTTTATTAAAATGAAAAACTGGTTATACTTACCTGCTCTGTGTAATGATATTGCACAGAGCAGCCCCATACCTCTTTGGTGGTCCCTTGCCAGCACCTTCTTCCTCTGGGTGCCTCCATAGCAAGCCATATGCTGTGGAGGCACCTGTGCAGGTGCACTCATCAGCCAGGCTGTGTGCATCCATAGACTCAGCGTGGCTTGGCCACAACCCTTGTTCCCTTCTCACAGGATTTTACTGACAGCTCATGGCTCTTACGACTCTCAGTGTAGCTTGTGAGAAGAGAAAGGGAGAGCAGCAATAGTGCAGCAGGAACAGCACTAGAGCAGGACAGGAGACAGGTAAGTGTTTTTTTTTTTTTTTTTGGGAAGGGGCGCACAACAACTAGTGGGACATTTTTCACTGTAAAGCAGAAGTAAATTCCACTTTTTATCTTGTACCTACAAGTAACCTTATAATAAGGCTTATCTGTAGGTACAGTGAATATCTCCTAAACATGCACTATTTAGGAGATATTTACATGTGTAGCAGCCACTGACATCACTGGGGAATGAGCAGTGCGCTGTCAATGGACAGCATGCCGCAGACGTCTCAATGGAGAACTGTGCCACGACCATCCACATGCGCAGGAGTGATGTCATCACAGCTCTGCCATTCCTTTTTCCTTGTGTGATGGGGTGTTTTTAAAATGGAACTTCACTCTCTCAATCAACATTGACTATTTTGAATCTTTATGCTGCTAGAAAGAGTAAATACACTGCTCAAAAAAATTAAAGGAACACTTATTAATCAGAGTATAGCATCATGTCAGTTAGACTCCTGGGTTATTGATCTGGTCAGTTAAGTAGCAGAGGGGGTTGTTAATCAGTTTCAGCTGCTTTGGTGTTAATGAAATTAACAACAGGTACACTAGATGGGCAACAATGAGACGAGCCCCAAAACAGGAATAGTTTTACAGGTGGAGGCCAATGACATTTTTTCCCCTACTCATCTTTTCTGACTGTTTGTTTTTCACTAGTTTTGCATTTGGCTAGGGTCAGTGTCACTACTGGGAGCATGAGGCGATACCTGGAACTTAAAGAGGATGCACAGGCAGTCCAGCTCCTCCAGGATGGCACATCAATACATGCCTTTGCCAGAAGGTTTGCTGTGTCTCCCAGCACTCTCAAGAGCATGGAGGAGATTCCAGGAGACAGGCAGTTACTCTAGGAGAGCTGGACAGGGCCGTAGAGGGTCCTTAACCCATCAGCAGGACTGGTATATGCTCCTTTGTGCAAGGAGGAACAGGATGAGCACTGCCAGCACCCTAAAAAATGACCTCCAGCAGGCCACATGTGTGTATGTCTCTGACCAAACAATCAGAAACAGACTTCATGAGGGTGGCCTGAGGGCCCAACGTCCTCTAGTGGGCTTTGTGCTCACTGCCGGGCACCATAGAGCTTGATTGGCATTTGCCATTAAACACCAGAGTTGGCAGGTCCGCCACTGGCGCCCTGTGCTTTTCACAGATGAGAGCAGGTTCACCCTGACCACATGTGACAGAAGTGAAATGGTCTGGAGAAGTCATGGAGAATGTTATGCTGCCTGTAACACCGTTCAGCATGACCCTTTTGGTGGTGGGTCAGTGATGGTCTGGGGAGGCATATTCATTGGGGGACAAACAGACCTCTACAGGCTAGACAATGGCACCCTGACTGCCATTAGGTATAGGGATGAAATGCTTGGACCCATTGTCAGACCCTACTCTGGTGTAGTGGGTCCTGGGTTCCTCCTGGTGTACGACAATACCTGGCCTCATGTGCCAAGAGTATGCAGGCAGTTCCTGGAGGATGAAGGAATTGATATCATTGAATGGCCCCTAAGCTCGCCTGACCTAAATCCACTAGAATATCTCTGGAATATCATGTTTCGGTCCATCTGACGCCACCTGGTTGCACCTTAGACTGTCCAGGAGCTCAGTGATGCCTTGGTCTAGATCTGGGAGGAAATACCCCAGGACACCATCTGTCATCTCATTAGGAGCATGCCCCGACGTTGTCAGGCATGCATACAGGCATATGGGGGCCCTATAAACTACTGAGTACCATTTTGAGTTGCTGCAATGAAATTTCAGCAAAGTGAACTAGCCTGCTGCATCATTTTAATTTCCACCAAACGATGGGGCATCCTTATGTTCCTAACACATTACCCAGTCTGTATCAGTATAGATGTCCAAAATGATATTTTCTTTGGCAGATAAATAGCTCTCATAAATGTATTTCTTGCCCAAAGTTCAGCTTTAATATGTCTGCGTGTGTTTTAATTTCTTACTTCTGTTTTATTTATTTTTTGTAGGAAAAGACACATTTCTATGTTGAATTAAGAGGACAATCCAAGAACTGTTTTCCTGAAAAAAATCCAGAATGGCTGCAGATAAAGCAGGAGGTAAGGCTATTCTGTAGAAATTACTATTTTTCTTTTGAAAAATGTTTTTATGAAATGTCTTGTATTAGTAGTAACAAAGAATGATTTTGAAAAATTGTTGGCATTGCAAAATTTAATATATTAACCCCCTTCTTCATCCTCTGTCCTCAAGGTGTGTAGAAAACTCAAGACCCAAGCATTCTGCAACTGAACCAATATAGTGCACATTTGGTCCTATGATAAATCTATTTTGTTGCCGCCTTGTCATTGTTTTGTCTAATACAATATTTTTAGGTTGAGGCATTTGGGTATAGCTGATTATTGCTTGCCTATACTTTTTACAAATGAATGATTGCTAGGTATTAAAACTGAACTTCATGCAAACCTCTAAATACAGGGAATAAATACTGTACATTTACCATAGCTCTTTTCCCTGCCAGATGATTTTTACTTTTCCATTAGCTTTCTATTCCCTAGTAGTAGAGCTGCCAATAAGGGGGTACCTCCAGGTCTCCTGTAGGGGGCCTGGGCCCCATCACTTTAGAGGGGGACCCGGTCAGCCAGCATCTTCAAGCTTCAGGTAGCATGTGTTCCATACATAATGTTGTTTCCAGCTCCACCGGTGGTAACTTATATGCTGTGGGCTGGTGAGGGTGCCGGATCTTTTCATTCAGTGGATTCCGCGCACCGCCGCTGACAGGAGAGGTGACAGTAGAATCACTGCTCCTGTGGCCTTCATGCCTGGAGGGATGCTGGGAATGCCAATGCAATGACAGCTCAGCCAAGTAAACAAAAAGTGGCAGTAAAGGAAGACTTCTTCTGCTGGGCTCTGCTTTGGATTAGTTATTTGTCAGAGCCTGGCAGAGAAATAAGTAGAGGAAGTTTTGTTTTGCTTTCGGATCTTTATTGACAAGTGGCAGTAGAGTCTGAACTATAAAGGAACACAAGGGGGTGCCAGCCTAAGTGCAGTATGTTAAAAGTATTTATTAATAATATAGCCAAATGGCTACTCACTAGAAGGTACACAGATAAGGCGTTAAAGCATGTCCTCTATAGGGTAAGTGCTGTGGCTGGAGGTTTCCAATGGTGTCCATGTCCCAGGAGTGGATTATGTGTCAGCAGTCAGTGTTGGACGCCGTGACAGGCGTGGAACACAAGGAAGATCGGAACCAAGGTGCGGTGCGGCCAATAGGGATGCGAGGACAAGTCAATCACCTGTTTTCAAAGGTTCCGCTTTTTCTTCAGACCTCAGATGTTTGCGCCTTGGTTCTGGACTTCCTTGTGGTCCACGTTGGTTATGGCACTGCCCCCAATCTGCCCCTACTAGGCACCAAGACCCCCCATCTCTCCTCACAAAGCACAAACACTCCCCATCTCTCCCCGCTAAGCACCAGGACTCTCTCATCTCCCTCCACTAAGCACCAAGATCCCCCCATCTCCCCCCCCACTAAGCGCAAGGACCCCCTCATCTCCCCCCGCTAAGCGCAAGGACCCCATCATCACCCCCCCACTAAGCGCCAGGACCCCCTTTTTCTCCCCCCATTATGCACCAGGACCCTCCTTCTCCCCTGACTGTGCACCAGTACCCTCTTTTGTCACCCCTTGAAGACAAAGCTGTATTTTTTTTTTTTTTTTGGGCAGGTATATGGTGTCGGGCAGGGTTGGAGGCCCTAACAGCGGCCCTGCCTAGTAGAGCAGGAATTGAGAGTGGGATGACCGTTACTGTAAGACAGTCAAGTTCTGTTACAGTGCAGAGAATTATCTGTGTACTGTGAGCTTTCTTACAATTTCGGTGAGCAGAGAGAAGAATGCCAGACATCATGCTGATAACACACTCTGATTTCAAGTTTCTAAGTTAAAAGAGACGTATGGGGTATGCAAAACCAAAAAAAAAAAAAACCTTATACTCCCCTAGGTGGATGCAGCATCAATCCGATGCTGCATCTGCCCCCTACCTGCTTTGCACTGAGAACTGAGTGATCACACCGCTAGTCGCTCTAATCTCTCCTTCGCTCTAAGTAGAGAGCTTTGACAGTCAGTCTATTTTTCTATGCTCTGCTCCTCCATTGCTCACTGGAGCGCTGGACTGTGGAGGGGGCAGGAGCAGTTGGCTCAGCGGATCGCTGAGAAGCTCAGCCAGGTGCTGGTCCAGGCTTTTGGGCGGATCCCGACCCTGTGGTTGGGATCTTTTCAGATCCTGGACAGGCTCTGTGACGTCCGCCAACAGCGGGCTTTAGCCTGCTTTTGGCTAATCGAAAAGAATTAACTGCATTCCTGTGATCCATAGAAGTACAGCCAAAAAGCTTTGGCTATATTTCTCCTTTAAGCTAGACATGCACACATTGTTTTCTCTCCTTTTGCCAGCGGGCTGAATGACTGAAAATCACATGGTTCAATCATCCATGCTAAACAGAGTGGATGAAGGAATCTCCACTGGCAGCTATGGTTTTCAAGTTGCCACAACACCTGCAACTGTTTGAATACCAGAACAGTGACTGCTTCTGATAGAATGCAGTCACTGTTTAGCCAAGATTTTTGCACCCAGCTCCTTGTATTTTTTTTCTGTAGTGTCAGGTGGTGTCCACTGAGCCACCCACTTTCAAAGTAACAGAAGTAAAAATGAATGAAGAGGCCATGGAAGGGAATAAAAGCAAGCACCTTTTCATTCATCCGAGATCATATATGAAGAAGAGTATGGCTGACTGAGGTGGTCATTTGAAAAAGGCAACTACAATCGAGGAATCGGTAGCCACGGAAAGATATATTTATATGTCTGTGATGGAGCTTGCAAGCACCTCCCTGTCTGCTGGCAATTGCTCTTGCTTTGTGACTATTGATATGCCATGGGTTCAACACATCATCATTAAGTAGTACGTCTTCCCTCATCGTGAAACGCAGTGAAGAAACTACTGACTAACTGTACTGAATAATATTTGTTTATGACATAATTTCTATCTGGTCATGTGAATGTTATGAATTCACATAATAATTGTACAAATAGTTCTTACAAGATGTGTTGTTGTGACTACCAGTTATCTTAAAGTAATGTATTTTAGTTGATACATGCTGGAATAAAGTATCTTTTGTGCATTTATGTAGCTGGCACCAACACCCATGTCGCATGTGGTTTTTTTATTTTGTTTCTTTGTTTTTTTTTTTTTCTGATAATTGGAGATGTTGTTCCCAAGTGATCGGCCATCACTCCCTATTTGCCTATTTGTGGTTAGAATCTGTAAAAACAGAAATATGAAAACGGTCATTGTTAACATGTTTCTAAGTGTGGATGTTCTGAGACTGTCATTATGATCCTGAATTCTCTCCTTGGTGAGTCCTTGACTAGGAACAAGCATGTACTTCGTGGGGGTACAGGACTTCTGAATTTTACATGTTTTTAATTAAGTAATTCGCTAAATAGTAGTGCAAAGGAAGAATATCATTCCAGGCCTTGAAAACAAGTAGACATTGGTTTTCTTTAAGTTATTGACTTCTGGTAGAGGTTGTCTTATAAATGTGACAAAATTTACTGTTAAAAAATAAGAAACTAACTTTTTGGTCTTTTTTTATTTTTATGTAACATAGAGCAAAATACCGAAAAGCATGAGGGATCCACTAATTGTTCTGGTATCTCTGACCAAGAAAAAGAGTTGTCCAAGTCTTCTTTCCAAGCATTTACGGTAACTGAAATGTTCTATTCTTGTTCAGTATCCTACTGCTTGTTTTAACCTGCTGCTTGTGAAGGAAAGGTATAGGAATTTGTGTAAATGTGTGCAGTTTAAATAGGCCCTGCCTAAGAGTAGGACCCAGACTATGCCTGCTATTACCTTTTTGTTGACCAACAAAATCTCTTCTGTTGGTCTCTTTCTCTTCTAGAAAAGAGTCCCCCCCCCCCCCCCCCCCCCCTTCAAAATAATCACATTATTGCAGCCTGAAATGAAGACGGATACAGTTTTGTTTTATCCAGCTGTATTTACTTATGTGCAGTGTCTAACATCCAAGTTAAAGATATAACTCCAACATGTCAGAAAAAAAAAACAAAAAAAAAAAAAAAAACAGAATCGCTGAGTTCGAAAAAGGATCACCCCTCTCCTAAAAATAACTTGTAAACTCTATTAGGTGTAGATAATAACCTTCTCAGTGGGACACAAGCCATTTGACTTTCAACTGTGATCAGCTGTGGTCATTTTGATTAGCTCAGCAAGAAAAGAGCTTTCCTTGAGCATTTCAATGCTGGTAGAGCAACTGAAGCAAACAACTGTCAAAAAATCTCTTGGGATACAGTTGTGGGCAGACACAAGTAAGGAGATGGATACAAAAAAATTTCAATGCCTTGCAGCACAGTGAAGTCTGTTATTAAGAAGTGGAAGGTATTTGGTACAACACAGACCCTCCCTGGATCAGGAGGTCACTCAAAACTGGATGAAAGAGCCAGGAGGGAACTGGTCAGAGAGGCTACCAAGAGGCCTATAGCAACTCTGTAGGCAGAGTGGTCCTTGTGTGCATGTGACAACAATATCACAAATTCTCCACAAATGTGCCTTGTATGGGAGGATTGCAAGGAAAAAGCCACTCGGGAAAGGCCACATGCATCAGGACAGAGCTTTGCCAAAACGAACCTTGAAGATTCCAAGACAACATTGGAAAAGTGTCCTGGTCAGATGAGACCATAAAATTGAATTATTTGGCCTCAACGCTAGACGATACAGTCAGGTCCATAAATATTGGGACATCGACACAATTCTAACATTTTTGGCTCTATACACCACTACAATGGATTTGAAATGAAACAAACAAGATGTGCTTTAACTGCAGACTGTCAGCTTTAATTTGAGGGTATTTACATCCAAATCAGGTGAACGGTGTAGGAATTACAACAGTTTGCATATGTGCCTCCCACTTGTTAAGGAACCAAAAGTAATGGGACAGAATAATAATCATAAATCAAACTTTCACTTTTTAATATTTGGTTGCAAATCCTTTGCAGTCAATTACAGCCTGAAGTCTGGAACGCATAGACATCACCAGACGCTGGGTTTCATCCCTGGTGATGCTCTGCCAGGTCTCTACTGCAACTGTCTTCAGTTCCTGCTTGTTCTTGGGGCATTTTCCCTTCAGTTTTGTCTTCAGCAAGTGAAATGCATGCTCAATCGGGTTCAGGTCAGGTGATTGACTTGGCCATTGCATAACTTTCCACTTCTTTCCCTTAAAAAACTCTTTGGTTGCTTTTGCAGTATGCTTTGGGTCATTGTCCATCTGTACTGTGAAGCGGCGTCCAATGAGTTCTGAAGCATTTGGCTGAATATGAGCAGATAATATTCCCGAAACACTTCAGAATTCATCCTGCTGCTTTTGTCAGCAGTCACATAATCAATAAATACAAGAGAACAAGTTCCATTGGCAGCCATACATGCCCACGCCATGACACTACGACCACCATGCTTCACTGATGAGGTGGTATGCTTAGGATCATGAGCAGTTCCTTTCCTTCTCCATACTCTTCTCTTCCCATCACTCGGGTACAAGTTGATCTTGGTCTCATCTGTCCATAGGATGTTGTTCCAGAACTGTGAAGGCTTTTTTAGATGTCGTTTGGCAAACTCTAATCTGGCCTTCCTGTTTTTGAGGCTCACCAATGGTTTAACTAGACAGAAATAAATATATAAAAAATCCCCCTGCGCTCCACAGAACCTAGTGATCAAAAAGTAAGCTGCTATCACCTAATCTTTATACCTCCAGATATGTGTCAACAAATAATATAAATGATGAAGCGCTCAACTTATATCCTTCAAATATAATCAATCAACAAATATATATAGTGAAAAATCCCCCACGTTATACACCCCCCCTAGTGGTAAATAGTGATATTCAACAAAATGACACTTAGACTGTGCAAAGTGACAAATATTTAAACAAAATATAATGCAAGATCAAAAAAAATGATTATTAGTGATGCCACACTGTGTAAAATAAAAAAAGTGTTCAATATGCTGTGATAATAATTTCACTCCATGCTGCCATTGTGCTCTTCGTGACTCTTGAAGTGACTCCCCTTGTAAATAGCCAAAGTGCCCCCTCACCTTCAATATTCGACCCTTGCGGGTCCCAAGGCTTTGTATATATAATATATATCTCTGCCAGGATATTGATACTCCACTGCCTCCACCGACTTACATCAAGATCCTCCTCCAAGCTATGGGTTCCTCTCAAAAACCTTCCCTCACAAACAGGGCGCATATGCAAGAGAAGAGCAGACCTCCATAGTGCAACACTATTTTAATGCACACAAGGTAAAATGCCAAAAACGCACTCACATGTAATCCCACAGAAAGAAGCAGTTCCCATGTGCTATGGGTATACTCAGGTGTACCAAGATGGCGTCCGAACCCGGAACCGGAAGTACGTCACCCCTATGACCGGAAATACGTTGACGCGTTGCGCCACAATCACGTGGCTTCTTCAGGATGCCGCATTGGATGACAGGACTCCCTTTTAAGCTATTGGCATAATTTACAAGGGGCGTGTATAACCTCCATTTTCTTGGAGCACGATCTACACAGGACAGCCGTATGCCGCCGCTACTCCCCCTGGTTCTCCCATTATACCTACTCTGCTTAAACTGATTGCATTTACTCCTCAAACATAAAATCCTTTATTACAGCAAATTGGTTTATATAAAATATTAAATTCTTATTTAATTATATACTATATAAGTAAAAAATGGAAGAAAAAAAAAGGAAAAAAAGGGGGGAAATTTCTAATTGATAAATGGATAAATATATATACACATAACCAGGGGATTTAATAGATATATGTACAATACCCTTCCACTAAAATAGACTCCGCTCCCCTATATCGATTTATTAAAACTACCCCATTCCATAAAATTTCTTTATTATTAAAAATTAAATAAATGGCAATTATATTAAAAACATATTAATTATAAAATTTGAAGAAATATTCATTAAAATTAATCAAATAAATTTTAGAAACCTATTTCAATAAAACTCCTGTATAATACCCATACCACATGTTTACATAAATAAATCATTATACACCACCAATTTATACATTAAACATAAATAAAACCAAGCAGTATTAAAAATCATTAAAAATCAAAGCGCAGTTGGATGATGTGAACACATACCAGAAATTACTAAAGGACCCCACAAGGATATATAAAAAGGAATTAGAACAATTAATTAAAATAGGTGAAAAGAAAAAATACTAAATAGTAAAGAGGGTAGCTATTTGGTACCGGAATGTTGCCGTATACCTGTAATCTATACAATTCGCAAGATGCATAAAAATTCTGTGAATCCACCGGGGAGGCCAATCGTCAATGGGATCCAATCGGTATTGGCCAGATTAGGCCAATATATAGATACTTTTTTACAACCATTGGTCCAGAGTACGGTATCATATTTGAGGGATACCAAACATCTAATTCAACTTCTAGAAAAAGGGAGCTCTGATATAATACTGGCCAGTGCTGATGTATCTTCGTTATATACGATTATTTAACCATGAAGACGCATTAGAAGCTACGGGGGTTGGGGGTCTGAGGGAATTAAGCAGCCTGAATTGGACACAGAGAAGATTTATTATACAATGTCTTGATTTCAGCCTTAGCCACAATTATTTTTGGTATGATAAAGTTTTTTACAGACAGATTAGGGGTGTAGCCATGGGAGCTAGTTTTTGCCCCGAGTGTGGCAAATTTGTTCATGGCCTACTGGGAGCAAGAATCAGTATACAAAGATAAACCTGTTGAACTGGCAATGTATAAGAGATATATAGATGATGTATTCATCATATGGAAAGGAGATGAAACAAAATTAATGGACTTTTTAAAACAATTAAATAATAATAAAGAAGAATATAAAAAGTTTATATGGAAATGTAGTAACCAATCCATTCAATTTTTGGATTTGGATATTCGAGTGCAAGGGGAAACTATTAGCACTAAAACGTATTTTAAGGAAGTCGATAAGAATGGCTACATTCCGATAGAGAGTTGCCATTTTCCCCCTTGGTTACTAAACATCCCAAAGGGCCAGTTCATTAGGTTGAAAAGGAACTGTACGTATAAAGATGATTATGATACTCAGGCTAGGATTTTGGAAAAAAGATTTATATCTAAAGGATATATGGTGTCGGATCTTGAGAAAAATAAATTGGAGGTGGCTAATATAGATAGGGAGAAACTCATTGCAAATAAAGTAGAAAATAGGGATAGGCAGATGGTTGATCAAGTGGCAGTTATTTTGGATTTTAATCTACAATATAAAAAGATCCAGAACATTTTCAAGAAACATTGGCCAATTTTTAAAGATGGACCCCCTATTAGGTAATTTATTGCCAGAACAGCCCAAATTTATTTACAGAAAAGCTCCTACATTGAGGAATAAAATAGTGAGGAATGTATTGGATCCACCGAGGGTGAATAGAGAAAATACCCTGTTTAGTGTTACCGTTTTTTTTTTTCCCTGTAAAAAATGCAGTGTCTGTAAAGCTACAAAAGGGCAGAATCAAAAAAGGAATGCATTTATGTCTAAGAGCAATGGGAGGTCATTTGAAATCAAAGATTTTATTACGTGTAAAACTGAAGGGGTTGTCTATTTTTTAGAGTGCAACTGTGGCCTGCAGTATGTGGGACGCACCAAAAGAGCGTTGTGGGTTAGATTGAGAGAACATGTGAAAAACATACAAAAGGGTAACCCAAAACACAGCGTCTCCAAACATTTCGCCAGTCATCATGGGAATGACCCCTTGGGATTGAGATTTTTGGGGGGTGGAACGATATAAAAAACATTGGAGAGGGAGCCATAAGGTGAAAACAATAAGTCAGGCGGAGTCTAAATGGATTTTCCTTATGCAAACGCTGACACCTAGAGGTTTAAATATTGAATTTGACCTTAATTGCTTCATTAATGATTTTTAATGATTTTTAATACTGCTTGGTTTTATTTATGTTTAATGTATAAATTGGTGGTGTATAATGATTTATTTATGTAAACATGTGGTATGGGTATTATACAGGAGTTTTATTGAAATAGGTTTCTAAAATTTATTTGATTAATTTTAATGAATATTTCTTCAAATTTTATAATTAATATGTTTTAATATAATTGCCATTTATTTAATTTTTAATAATAAAGAAATTTTATGGAATGGGGTAGTTTTAATAAATCGATATAGGGGAGCGGAGTCTATTTTAGTGGATGGGTATTGTACATATATCTATTAAATCCCCTGGTTATGTGTATATATATTTATCCATTTATCAATTAGAAATTTCCCCCTTTTTTTTTTTTTTCCTTTTTTTTTCTTCCATTTTTTACTTATATAGTATATATTTAAATAAGAATTTAATATTTTATATAAACCGATTTGCTGTAATAAAGGATTTTATGTTTGAGGAGTAAATGCAATCAGTTTAAGCAGAGTAGGTATAATGGGAGAACCAGGGGAGTAGCGGCGGCATACGGCTGTCCTGTGTAGATCGTGCTCCAAGAAAATGGAGGTTATACACGCCCCTTGTAAATTATGCCAATAGCTTAAAAGGGAGTCCTGTCATCCAATGCGGCATCCTGAAGAAGCCACGTGATTGTGGCGCAACGCGTCGACGTATTTCCGGTCATAGGGGTGACGTACTTCCGGTTCCGGGTTCGGACGCCATCTTGGTACACCTGAGTATACCCATAGCACATGGGAACTGCTTCTTTCTGTGGGATTACATGTGAGTGCGTTTTTGGCATTTTACCTTGTGTGCATTAAAATAGTGTTGCACTATGGAGGTCTGCTCTTCTCTTGCATATGCGCCCTGTTTGTGAGGGAAGGTTTTTGAGAGGAACCCATAGCTTGGAGGAGGATCTTGATGTAAGTCGGTGGAGGCAGTGGAGTATCAATATCCTGGCAGAGATATATATTATATATATACAAAGCCTTGTGACCCGCAAGGGTCGAATATTGAAGGTGAGGGGGCACTTTGGCTATTTACAAGGGGAGTCACTTCAAGAGTCATGAAGAGCACAATGGCAGCATGGAGTGAAATTATTATCACAGCATATTGAACACTTTTTTTATTTTACACAGTGTGGCATCACTAATAATCATTTTTTTTGATCTTGCATTATATTTTGTTTAAATATTTGTCACTTTGCACAGTCTAAGGCTGGCCATACATTATACAATTATCTGCAGATTTTTGGTTTAGATTTACCAAAAACCATATAATAGGAGGACAAACCTAAACAACACTTTCAGTTGTATCCAATTAGGCAGGCCCTTGCACTACATAGTTGAAGGTAAATCTAAAGGAAATTGGGCAGAAAATCTGCAGATAATTGTATAATGTATGGCCAGCCTAAGTGTCATTTTGTTGAATATCACTATTTACCACTAAGGGGTGTATAATTTACGTGGGGGATTTTGCACTATATATATTTGTTGATTGATTATATTTGAAGGATATAAGTTGAGCGCTTCATCATTTATATTATTTGTTGACACCAATGGTTTCCATCTTGTGGTGAACCCTCTGTATTCACTCTGGTGAAGTCTTCTCTTGATTGTTGACTTTGACACACATACACCTACCTCCTGGAGAGTGTTCTTGATCTGGCCAACTGTTGTGAAGGGTGTTTTCTTCACCAGGGAAAGAATTCTTCGGTCATCCACCACAGTTGTTTTCCGTGGTCTTCTGGGTCTTTTGGTGTTGCTGAGCTCACCGGTTCGTTCCTTCTTTTTAAGAATGTTCCAAACAGTTGTTTTGGCCACGCCTAATGTTTTTGCTATCTCTTTGATGGGTTTATTTTGTTTTTTCAGCCTACTGATGGCTTGCTTCACTGATAGTGACAGCTCTTTGGATCTCATCTTGAGAGTTGACGGCAACAGATTCCAAATGCAAATAGCACACTTGAAATGTACTCTGGACCTTTTATCTGCTCATTGTAATTGGGATAATGAGGGAATAACACACACCAGGCCATGGAACACCTGAGAAGCCAATTGTCCCATTACTTTTGGTCCCTTAACAAGTGGGAGGCACATATGCAAACTGTTGTAATTCCTACACCGTTCACCTGATTTGGATGTAAATACCCTCAAATTAAAGCTGACAGTCTGCAGTTAAAGCACATCTTGTTTCTTTCATTTCAAATCCATTGTGGTGGTGTATAGAGCCAAAAATGTTAGAATTGTGATGATGTCCCAATATTTATGGACCTGACTGTATGTCTGGCAGAAATCTAATACAGCTCACTATCCAAATAACACCATTCCAACAGTAAAGCACGAAGGTGGTAATACCCTGTTATGGGGGTGTTTCTCTGCAGCAGGGACTGGAGCACTTGTCAGGATAGAAGGAAAAATGGATGGGACAAAAAAAAAACATCAATTTTTTGAGGAAAATCTGCTGTTCTCTGCTAGAAAGTTGTAAATGGGAAGAAGGTTTACCTTCCAACATGACAATGACCCAAAGCACACAGCCAAAATGACCACACAGTGGTTGAAGGAGAAAAAGGTGAATGTCCTTACATGGCCTAGTCAGAGCCCAATCTTAAACCCTATTGAAAATCTGTGGAATGACTTAAAGACTGCAGTCCATAAACGTCACCATCAAATTTAACTGAACTTAAGCAGTTCTGTAAATATTGCAAAGTCTAGATGTGTAAAGTTAGTAGAGACATTCGCCAACAGACTAAAGTTGTAATTAAAGCAAAAGGTGGTTCAACAAAATACTGACACAAGGGGTGATCCTTTTTCCAACTCAGTGATTTTGTGTTTGAATTAAAAGAAAAAAAACTCTGACATGTATGTGTGTTCTATATTTCACTTGAATGTTATAAGTTGCACTGAGTAAATACAGCTGAATAAAACAGAATTCGTGACTGTCTTCATTTTAGTGTGAACATTTTATAGAGGGGTGATTTTCTTTACCCACTGCACATGTACCTGTCTCTTAAACTTTTTACTGCCATTACCATGTCTACTTCCAGTTCTGTTGTCTATGAATCGCTTGGATTGTACTTGGTAATTCAGTAAAAATCGAATGCACAAAAGAGCTGCACATGCAGACCATGCAATGACAGATATTAATCCTCATCTGTATAGGCTTAAACCTTGAAATCTATGGTTATTATGGTGTATTGCTCTTAATAATGGTAGTGTTGGTTATCATTGTATGTTGTGCATATACATATATAATAATTTACATTTTGAAAAGTGGTTTCATACAGTTTCTCCATCAGGCAGGGAATTATGAGGCATGTCTTCAGCACCTTGGAGAACTTAAAGAAATTAATAAAGATGACTACAAAATAATGTTGAACGTGGCAGTTGCAGAGTTTTATAAAGGTGACCAATGTACTACAGACACTTTGAAACAAACGCTGAACCAGTTGAGAAATGAGGTAACTTTTTTTTTTTGTTTGTTTTTGCTATCTTTTTTTTAAACATGAAAATGAAACTGTTGTGGTAAATTGCTGTTTGATGCTGAGGGTTCTGTAGTCCTAGACACTGTGTGCAGCATGGCAATTTATGTCCCTGGGTAATTTCAAAGGTGCCTACACTGAATAAAGCGGACTTTGTAACATCTTCCTGCTGTGATGCAAAAATGAAATATTATCTGCCTTTGAGTTTTTTGGGGATGCAGCATACCTCAGCTTGCCTTGACAGTGTTGCTCTTTTACAGTTGCTATATTTTTTTTCTTCTTTTATAGAAAGTACTTATTTTTGTTTTTTTTGTTCGCCTGTTGACTGCTGATTCACACTGATGCGGTGCAGGATTCTCAGCGAATTCTGTGCTGTTCAGCACTGCATCACAATCGCACTCCATTCATTCGAACTGCTGCAGGTGTGTATGTTATGTTAATGATGCCCCAAAAACTGCTTGCAGATTGCAGTGAGATTGGCTGTGTGGGTGTGAATTCCCCATGTGATCCGATTCTAGTGCAGGGAAAAAAAAAAAAGTGCATGTACCTGGCGTCGTGTGGTGCGATTTGAGTCTTACAAAGATGCTCAAATTGCACTGCAAAGAATTGCATGTGATCTGAGCAAGAACGTGGTGTGATTCCTATCCTATTCACATGCAGTTTCCCACACCACAATTATTATAGTGTGTGTGTGTGTGTGTGTGTGTGTGTGTGTGTGTGTGTGTGTGTGTGTGTGTATGTATATGTATATATTTTTAATGGGAGACAGTACAATTACAATACAGTTCAAAACAGAAGGAATAGGATGGCCCTGCTCGTGGAGCTTACAATCTAAAGGAAGGGGGAGGTGGTATTAAAGGTGATAGCTGCAGGGGATGATCTGATGGAGGTTATTCAAGTAAAGTTCTTAGGTGGAGGTGGGGTAGGCTTCCCTGAGTAAGTTAATTTTCAAAGATTGCCTAAATGCAGATAGGGAGGGGGCTGATCGGACATATTGGGGTAGGGAGCTCCAGAGGATGGGAGAGGCTCTGGAGAAGTCCAGGAGGCAAGCATGGGAGGAGGTGATCAGAGAGCTAGAGAAAAAGATGTTTTGGGAAGAGCAAAGCGGGCGATTTGGGCGATATCTGCTGATGAGGATGGTGATGTAGCTAGGGGCAGTGTTGGTGGATGGTTTTGTATGTTATTAGTATTTTGAATTTTATGTGTTTGGGTTAGTGGAAGCCAGTGAAGGGATTGGCAGAGAGGGACAGCAGTCGCTGATTGGTTGGTAAGGTACATAAATCTAGCAGCAGCATTCATAATAGACTGAAGGGGGGATAGCCTGTGTAAAGGTAGGCTAGTGAGGTGGCAGTAATCAAGGCGAGATATAACCAGGGTGTGGATAAGTTGTTTTGTGGTGTCATTGGTCAGGAAGGGGTGGATTTTGGAAATGCTGCGGAGGTTGAGGCGGCGGCACGATTTAGCCAGTGATTGGATGTGGGGCCCGAAGGAGAGGTCAGATTACACCTAGCACCCTGGCATGAGGGGAAGGACCAATGGTTGTGCTGTGGATCTTAATGGTAAAGTCATGAGTGCGCAATAGGGCTATTTTTCACTCAATGTGACTAAGTTATTTGACAGCATAGAATGGAATTTCTTATGGTAAGTATTGCGGAAATTTGGTTTTGGGCCATGTTTTGTCAGATGGGTTAAGCTCCTTTTATTCCTACTTCCACAAGAGTTTCAGGTTAACGGACATATTTCAGAGCCTTTTCCGCTTCACTGGGGCACAAGGCAATCTGATAACATAGTGGGATTCTGTAGAATGATGGGGGGATCATAAGGTAGATTTATATGCAGATGACACCCTCCTGTTTTTGGGGGACACCGCCTCCTTTTTGATGGCTTCCATGTCTCTTATCTCGTCATATGGTTCATTTTCTGGGTTCACCAGTAACTGGGACAAGTCGGTTATTATGCCACTTGATGCGCTATCTGGAGATTTAGCTTCCAAGGCCAGCCTGATTTCAGATGTTTCTTCCTTTAAATATTCAGACGTTTATGTTACACCTAGATCTTTGGAATACTTGTCCATAAACATTGACCTTCTTTTATCTAGGTTGAAATAAACTGGTAGAACTTGGTGTAAATTAACTTTGTCAGTTATAGCAGGGTTAATCTAGTAAATATGATATGGATGCCACAATCGTTCTGTTACACAGTTGCCCAGTTTGGATCCCTCAAAAAACTTTTAGAAGCATAGATACATTTTTTCTGGGAACTTATTTGGAAGCGAGGACACTCTAGAATTAAACTTACTACCCTTCAACTCCCCATGGACATTGGGGGTCTGGCAGTCCCTAACACTATACTGTATTTTCTAGTTTCCCAACTCCAACACATGGGAAGGTGGGTGGCATTCAGATAATATTCTAGACCCCATTCAATGCACTTTGTCTATACTACCAGAAGCCTCTTTGGTGGACCTGTTGGTATCGGGTCAATTTCAGATTTATCGTAGGTTTCCCACATTTTATATGCTTCATCATCTTTGGGAATCTGTTGGGGAACTCTCATAAAGGATATACGCAATATATACTTATTTGGAATAATCCTAGCTTTCCTGAATTGGCCACACTTTCAGGTTTTGAAACCTGGTGACGAGCGCATATTATTCATCTACATCAGTTGTATAGTAATGATGTTCTGTTATCTTCTGAAAACTTAGTGGAGAGATATCATTTAACACACGTGTTTTTTTTCAATATCTTCAGCTCCGTCATGCATTACAATGTCAGGCTGTCTCGATGGAGTTGAAATATAATGCCTCCAATGTACTGGGAATGGCAGAATCTTCATCCAGTACTAAAAAGGGAGTGATGGGGGATTTATACTCTGCTGTACATGCCACTTTTAGAGATCAGATACAGCTGAAATGTGGAGATAGGAGGAGGATGTGAGTCCCTTTTGAAGAATGATGACAACAAGCACCTGAAGTTATTCCTAGGGTATCATCTTCCTCTAAACGGTTGACACAACTATTTATTTTACACAGGGTCCATTATACCCCACAGCGCTTTCACATATGGGGAAGACGTTCTTCACCCAACTGCCCATGTTGTACGGTGCATAATGGGTCATTGATCCATATGTTGTGGTGATGTCCCAAACTACAACATTATTGGACCGTAATTTTCGGTATGCTAAACAGCATGTGTTCTACGCAGGTCCCTATAGAACCTAAGAATGCTATATTGGGTATTATCCAGGGTGAGGTGTTACCCTCGAATTATAATATGTTATGGATCAGAACCCTGTTCCTTGCTGGCAAACTTATTTTGCAAAAGTGGTTATCGCCTAATCCTCCAACACTAATACAGTGGAAAGAAGCAGTGAACTTCACAAAAAAGAGGGAAGAATTGACATACAAGCATGGAGGTTGCCCGAAAAAATTCCTTAAAATCTGTGACCCCTGACTATCCTCGAACGACTCCTCCCTCACTGGAAATTGCAGACCCAAATTGTGTTACTCCTACAAGATTGTATTTGTTATTGTGAAAATGGATGCCAATTGTTTACTTTCTTTCTATTGGTTTTTTTTTTTGCTGTTATTGTAGGAAAAGTTTTTCAATAAAAAATGATCTGATTAAAATAGTAATGAGTGGGGGATCGGGGAAGAGGAAATATTACAAGATCGGTTTTAGAAATATTGAGTTTGAGGGAGTGGTGTGACATCCATACTGATATGTCGCTTAGTAGATTTGTGATGCGTGAGGGGTTGAGCTGGGGAATGGAGAGATATATATATATATATATATATAATATATATATATATATATATGGGTGTTGTCAGTATACAGGCGGTATTGGAAGCCATGGGAGGTTATCAGTTGGCCCAGGAAGGACATGTAGAGAGAAAAGGAGGGACCCAAGGACGGAGCCTTGGGGTACCCCAACAGGAAGAGGAGTGGAGGAGTTGATGCTGAAAGTGCTCTGAGAGTAGTAAGAGGCGAACCAGGAGAGAGCAGGGTCATGGAGGCCAAGGGAGTGGAGTTTACTGAGGATTGAGTGGTCATCTGTGTCAAAGGCAGCGGAAAGGTCTAAGAATATGAGTATGGAGTAATGGCCATTGGTTTTAGCAGTTAGTAGGTCGTTAGTGAGTTTTAGTAGGGCAGTTTCAGTGGAATGTTGTGGGCGGAAGCCAGACTGTAGAGGATTGTTGTCGGTGAGGTAGCAATTCATATGGTTGTGAACAAGGCGCTTGAGAAGCTTGGAGGCAAACGGAAGCAAGGAGATGGATCTAAAGTTATTCAAACAGATGGGGTCCAGCAAGGGTTTAAGTATGGGGATAACCAGTGCATTAGTGTGATAGGTGATGCAGCACTGCTGTGAATATTGGTAAACGTGATATAAAATAACAATTATGTCCCTATATTAAACAAATAATTAAATTCACATGCTTAAACAATCACATAAACTCTAGTACATTTCAAACGATATAGATATAAATGTATTAATTATAGCATTTCAAACATATGTGAATATAAACTTGATAACAGTTCATAAAGTCCTCATAAATGTGCGTGATTTTCCAACACCAACATGGTACATGTGCTCCTGTTAACTTCACACATAAAGTGTCACCTTTGTGCTCACAGAACTCTCCCTTCACATTTAAATCATTTTGCATATGGGTGATATTCCATCCTGGATGGAGTCATCTGTTTTTCCAGGGTTGTGACAGGCGAGGCGTGTAGAGAAAGGAGCAAGTGCGTCCAGGGAGGATGATAGTAAGTTGTTGTAGGCAGATGTGGCCAGGTCTGGGCAGGGCAGGGGTGCAATTTTATCATAAAAGGTGCTCAGTAGTGAAGAAGGGAAGAACTGAGGTGGTGGAGGCTTCTACGGGTTTGCTGGATGGAGGCATGGGAGGTAGAAGATGGAGAATGTGAATCTGATAAAGTTGTGATTGGAGAGAGGAAAAGGGGTGTTAGAGAGGTTACAGGGAGTGTGACCTAAGACTTAATGTGCTGTTTTATACTCTTGATTTTCCATATTTTAATCATGAAATAACATTGATTCTTTCTCCTGATCTCCTCTATAGTAGCTCTTAAAAACTGGTGCAATAAAATCTATTAGTCATATACAAAGTCTGTTTTATTTTTTTTTAGTCAGTCTGTGCATACAGATTTGCTTTGAGAAATACACAGTGAAGGTCTCACCAATATATTTATACATTATACAGTAATAATGCTTTTAGAACATAATATGCTTTGGTAAGATTATATTAAATAGGAAAATGAATAGTGTGTTTTCATTAAGCTTCATTTTAAAGTTGCTCTGTCACTCGAAAATAAAAACAAATATTAAACAAGGTGCTAGCAGGTATAACTTTCAGTTGCTCTGTTTTTTTATCACCGACAACTGCTCCCCCTTTAGCTGCAGAGGCAGCAGCTGGTGGTGTACACGTGCTGTTGCCACAGCTAGAAGTATGCTCTCAGGTGAGTGGGGCTGCACTGCAACTGCCCTGCAGCTGAGTGCATTGAACCCAGTTGCAGTGCGGTGATGTTGCATTTTGGCTGTTGAAACAGGTGATGAGCAGGCGACATAGTTTCTCTTCACTACCTGTCAAATGCATCTGAAAAACAATCTGAGCATGGTTTTCTTTTTAGAGGAGTGGCAGACCTTGCTGCTATTACAAACAGGCCTTAAAAAAGCAGTTCTGATCGTACAGGAATAGGGGTCAGGATTAAGGCTAGGTTCACACCTATGCAGTTTGCATTTGATCTGTTTATGCAGTGCTTTTTGCAGTGCGTTTTGCATTTTTGCACATGCGTTTTTGTTGTGTTTTTTTATTTTTTTGGCCAACTTGTTGCTGGGCAGATTAAAAAAGGGCACAATTGTGAAAACCACAACACTTGCGTTTTATATGCGGTTCCGTTGAAGTCTATTGGACTAAAAAAAGCAAACTGCTGTGGGAAAAGAAGTCCCTAACCCCTTCCCAAAAACATGCCCGCAAAAAACACATAGATGTGATCCATAGGAAATCATGATAAATGGCATGCACTGCGTTCTTGCAGAATGCATAAAAAAATGCATGGGGTGTGAACCTGGCCTAAAAGTAACACACACACCTCTGTATATACAGTTTTTTAAAAAGTTGCAGTACAGTACCTTCACTCACACAGCCGGGTATTGCACTGCAGGGGGAGGAGGAGAAAACTACATATAAACTCCCCACTCCCTTTGTTTTCACTTTTCTGAGTGCTTTGATGGCTGACTGAGCTCCCTCACTGCCGATGTACAGTTCGGCTGGGATCAGGAGTTTGGTCTTTTCTGATAGCTTTTCTCTATCAGGATGCCGCGACACCCCTGAGGACCTCAGATGGCACCTCGGTCAGGAAAGGCTACCTTAGAGGATAAGATGCTGTCCTACAATACTATAGCTCTCCAGTAAATGTTGTGGTAGGAGAAGTCTGTATTGCAGTACATGGCTCAGGGAAAACACACACACCAGGGTGTGCTAACATAGCGAGATCACAGAAAAAGAAGATTGTCTGTTTTACCTTTTAAAAATTCTATAATGTCCTATTGCATGAGGTGCTAGTAACAGCACATGTTATCATTTAAATTCACATATTTAGGTTCATTCAGCTGTTGATGAGATGGACAGTTTAGATGATGTGGAGAATAGCATGCTGTACCACAATCAAGCTGTCATTTTGTATTACCTGCGCCAGCACATGGAAGCCATTGCCATTGGAGAAAAACTTTACCAGTTCATTGAACCTTTTGGTAAGTAACTGTTCAGTCTTGGTGAGTCAAACTGTGTTCTACCATTACATCTGAATATTTTTGAAAGATTTGACAATTTCGTTTTTTTGACAAAATATTTGATATTGTTTTAATGAAAAGCATTTCTGAATTGCAATTATTTTGTTGTGTTTACCTTCATGCTGTTTTATTATTTGCACATTTAGTTTGGATTTTCTACTTCTTTAAAGTGTATGTAAACCATAACGAACTTCTTTCAATATTTCATTTTCTCCCTTTTAGCCAATTAAATGTACCATTGAAAGAGTTTGTTATATCTGTGTGATTAAAAAAAAAAAATACCTGTTGACACTGCCAAAAATCCTGTGTTGTCCTGTGCACTCTGTATCATTAGCTCAAACAATATTATCAGCCCAGCCTATCACACAGCTGTGGACTACAGAATATCTCCCTCTATGTTATGGAAATAAGTGAAGACTGTGAGGTGTTCTAGAGTCCTAACACACTTTCTGTCCTAGGATGACAACACTGCTTCTCCACATAAATAGTACAGTAAGTGAGCATTGTCATACTGAGACAGGACGTGTGTTACCGGCAGGATCAGCTGGTTAAAATAAAAAAAAAAAAAGGAAAGTCTCAACAATTTAGGATTGGTAAGCTGCAGAATATTTAATTAACCTTTTTTGGAGGTTAGATACTTTAAAGGGTAACTCCACTTGTGTGGGAAAACATAGCGAAAATTTACACACACACACACACACACACACACGATATTAGAAATTATCTATCCTTTTCAATTTGCAGCACTGTAATTTTTTTGTAAAATGCAATACAATATTGCTACCTGGAGGCATCTGTACACAGATGGTGTACAGAACGCCCCATGAAGATGTAATTTCCTGCTTGTGTGATTGACTTACTGATTTTCCCAGAAGTCTGCACTAAGATACGTCAGATTTTTGTCATCCCCTGCAACATAAATTAAATTTTTGGTGAGATACTCCCAAAGGGAAATCACGTTTAAAGGGATTCAGACACTGCCAGTTTCCTCTTTAGAGCTCTGCAGGTTCAGCAGCTGATTGATAATTATAAAACCATTCACTCTGCACGTGGACAGAAACAAACATTATTATTATTATACAGGATTTATATATCGCCAACAGTTTGCGCAGCGCTTTACAATATAAGGGAGACCGTACAATTACAATACTTTCAGTACAGAAGGAATGTGAGGGCCCTGCTTGTGGAGCTTACAATCTAAAGGAAGGGGGAGGTGATACAAAAGGTGATAGCTGCGGGGGATGATCTGGCGGAGGTGATTCAAGTACAGTTCTTGGGTGGAGGTGGTGTAGGCTTCCCTGAAGAAGTGAGTTTTCAAAGATCGCCTAAAGGCAGACAGGGTGGGGGCTGACCTGACATGCTGTGGTAGGGAGTTCCAGAGGATGGGAGAGGCTCTGTAGAAGTCCTAGAGGTGAGCGTGGGAGGAGGTGATGAGGGAGATAGAGAGGAGGATATCAAGGGAGGAGAGTGGAGAGGGCGATTTGGGCGGTATCTGTGGATGAGGTTGGCGATGTAGCTAGGGGCAGTGTTGTGGATGGCTTTGTAAGCTGTGGTTAGTATTTTGAATTTTATACGTTGGGTTAGTAGAAGCCAGTGAAAGGATTGGCAGAGAGGGGCAGCAGTCACTGATCGGTTGGTAAGGTGTATGAGTCTAGCAGCAGCATTCATAATAGACTCGGGGGGGATAGCCTGTGTAACGGTAGACCAGTGAGGAGGGAGTAGCAGTAATCAAGGCGGGATAAAACCAAGGCGTGGATAAGTTGTTTTGTGGTGTCATTGGTCAGGAAGGGGCGGATTTTGGAAATGTTCTGGAGGTTGAGGTGGCAGGATTTAGCCAGTGAGTGGATTTGGGGCCTAAAGGAGAGGTCAGAGTCTAGGATTACACCTAACACCCTGGCATGAGGGGAAGGACCAATGGTTGTGCTGTTGATCTTAATGGTAAAGTCATGAGTGGGGGACTGGGGAGGAGGAAATATTACAAGCTCAGTCTACAAAAAGGTAGGAAAAGGTAGGAATTTGCAACAAAGTTTGTGAAAATCCTTGTAATGTACATAGATCACCCAGAGGGGAATGTTTTTTTTCCTCATCAAAAGTGGAGTTACTCTTTAAGGTTCAGGTATTAAATACTTAAGTATAATTTAATTTTTTTAAAACATTTTATACACAGGAATAAATCCTTAATTTTTAGTTTGTTCTACTACTTTATCCACATCCTGCAGAATCAGCAAAATAGTTATGTTTAAAAAGCTGTGTAAAAACAATGCCAAGAATTGCAAGCTTTGCATTGGCCTAGGTTAAGAAACAAGGACAGGTTGATTTAAAGGAGTTTAAAGGTGAAATTGTTCTGTAGGATAGTAAGGATGAGGCTTCTAGATTACTGGGTTTAACAAATAAAATAATTGCTTTAAAAAAGTAAATACATAGGTATAGAAGTGTGTTTTTATTAATTTAGCTAGTGTATATTGAAATTTGTACCAAAAATACAAACAATCTTCAGTTTTGTTAGATTTATCATTTAAGTTCTGTTGCTCATAAAACTCCTGATGTATGGAGAAATATGCTAAGGAAAAAACCTGTTCCCCATAGGAATTCGTTAGCGTCAGACTTTGTTTTGAAAATAAACCTAGGTGGTGTGGTTTGATATTGACCACAAAACATTATTTCTGCAATGCGGTTGCTATGTATGTTTCTACAGTTTAAAGAAGCTGTTTACTTGGAAAATTATTTTGTGTAAAATGATAGTATGGTTAAGGTTTTACTCTAATCATCCTAAAATGTTTATTATGCTATTGTTCATATTTCTGTATACTTTCTTTCCCACCATGCTGTCTTTGACACTGACATTTTAGGCATGCGTCTGAGAATACCTAGATCATCGCACCACAGCCCTTATGGATCATGCACAACACACAGCAGAGGTGAAGATTGTTACTAATTTTTAGTGTTCCCTTTTTTCTTCCCAAGATAGAGCGAATGGAAGCTGGCCTTCATTCAGGATCATTTACCAGTGGAAGCTGTTCATAAATTATTAAAAACAGCTAGTGTTAACGTATTTTTGTTTGCAGCTCTCGGGGATGTTGGATTATGCTCAGATTTCTTCGCTTTCATAATTTATTTTTCAACAAACCTTTTTTGTGGCATTTTCCTTGAGGCATCACCATAAAGAAACTTTGGAGGTCCTTGTTTCGAGGTTCTCATTGCCCCCCCCCCCCCCGTCAACACGTCCTGTTGTTTTCAAAGGGGAGGTATAGAAGAGGAGTGGGGAATCAAGGGGCTAATTTTCTCTGCAATAGGGGCTACCTTGAAGGTGGTTTGTCTGGACAGTGTCTTTTTTTTTTTTTTTTTTTTTTTTTTTTTTTAAGAGAAACCCTGTTACCAGACTTCACTTTTTCAGTACTTGCAGCAGTAGAGAATAACTAAGTAATGTTTTCTCTGTTTTTTAAGGTCCCATTCACATGTGTTTGTGTTGCTTTACCGCATGACCATTGTGAAAAGTATACCTTATAGCACCACTCCAGGCTATGGATGGAAGGAAAAGGATCACTCCACTGGCAAGTGAGAAGAGGGAAACATGAGTCCAAGCGATTCCAGTGTCAGCCAATACAAGTGAAGGGATGGATGCTGCTCAACTGACTCCAGGAGTCCAATGTGGAGGAATGGCCTCAGCTGCCATACTGACCATGCCCTCTGACACGTTTCATCCCGCCCACTGTGGCTTGGTCACAGAGGTAAGGAGGATGTGAGAAGCTAGGAGATATATAAGCATCATTGGCCGTGAAAAAAGAATCAGGTGTGTATATGTGATGATAGTGCAATTAGAAAACAGGAAGAAGACAAGCGAAACTGATATATATATTTCCAGGCTTCTCACATCCTCACTACCTCTGTGACCAAGCCCCAGTGGGCGGGGTGAAATGTGCCAGGGGATGTGGCCGGTAAGGTGGCTGAGGCCATTCCTCAACATTGGACTCCTGGAGTCGATTGAGCAGCGTCCATCCCTTCACCTTACCGCATGAGTACTATCATACATTTCACCTTTCTGTTCAGTGTTGGTGGGTTGGGAATGCACTGCAATGCATCTATTTTAAAATATGGCACTATTTTTTCAATTCAATGCACTACTATGCACAGATGGTTCACATTTGTGTGTTGACTTCAATGCAAGTAGGTTGTCTAGGTGCTTTGGGTTGCCATTCAAAATTGAATGTCTATACTAAGCACCACACTTGGTTTTGTGCATCACTGTCTGCTGGCAACAATCCTTGTTCATTTGCGGCGGTTTTGTGTAGAATTTTGCCACTTCTGCTATCACTGCTAGAGTTTAACACAGACACAAGTGACGTAGGAGCAAGGGGTAAGGCAAAAGCTGTGGTTGGTGGTACCAGAACTGTCAACGACTATGAAAGTTGCACTTTTAAGGCCATTAGGGCAAACAGTAAGGAGATAATCGCTACTGCTGCAAGTGTTTACAAGAAAATTTGACAGCTGGTGAAAGATTCTGTGTCTGAATAGTGGCTTCTAGGGGCTTCACCAGAGTTGCTTTCATTTTTTAGAATAATCAAATTCTGTTCAGCATTTAATGTTCCTGGGAAATCAAGGAGCTAGAAGTCATTTGATAATAAAAAAAAAAATCCCATGTATCACAATCCAGAGCTTGTGATACATAAAGTGTCTTTACAGTTTGAAATGGTTTTTTCATGACTCCTCTAGAAGCGGATAGTGTACCCCTACTTAGGGCTGTTTCTAAGCTGAATATGGCACAGATTGCATTTTATATGTTTTTAAGATTTCTGTAGCAGAATGTTACTTGCTGAGTAAGTCCAATGCCCGACCTCATCATGTGTTCAGAAAATTAATGTTTACATATTGATGAACCCCAGGCTATCTCTTTAAATGCAACCAACAGAATGTGAGGATCTGTGTCAATTGCAGTGGAAGTTGTTAGTCTCCGTTAGAATTTAATTTATTTAATTAGGCCGTCATTTTCATCTAAATAATTATTTTTAAGTTTAAAGTGTTACTAAACCTAGGATCCTGCATTCACTATGTATGATCTCACACAGAACATAGAAATGCAATTATTTTAATAAATATAAACTGCTAAATACCTTTTCTCATCAGCAGCTAGAGCAGTCTTGTGATGTCTCTGTGTCCAGCAGAGCACTGGTTAAAGCTTGTAGGAGGAGTTTTCATTTTCCCCTAAGGGACTGCAGGACCCCTGACCCTCTATCTGGACAGTGCTGATCACATGCACTCTCCCAAGAAAAAAAAAAACCCCTCTCTTGCAATACACACCAAACTGAGCATGTGCAGCTTGTCCTCAAGCCTCTGCTCTCTCAGGAGTTATATTGGGGACAGTAGAAAAAGGAGAAGATCAAAGGAGACCGGATCAAAAATCTTTTTTACGCAATGTGCAGGATTAACCCCTTAGGTTCCACAGTGAATATAACAAGCATGTTTTACTGCATATAGAGACTGATTTTTACTGTTGTGGGTTTAGTAACACTTTAAATGTTGTTGGACATTTATTGTAAAACACTTACAATCATGAACTTGAACTCACATGTTAACAGAAAGCTCTGCTTGATAATGAGAGTTATAGGACCTACCTTTCCTGGAGAACCCACTGCTGTAATCTCTGTCCTGTGATGGTCCCACTCAGTTCAACTTCTTGACATGGAACGAGCACTGTAGGGTGCATGTAGCACCTTTTTTTTTTTTTTTTTTCCTGTTTCCCAGCCACCCTATAGCAGAACTACTGCAGGGCTGTGCCAAATCACGTATATGTGTGTGTGTGTGTGTATATATATATATATATATATATATATATATATATATATATATATATATAATACACGTGATTTTGTATTTCCGAGTAGGGGACGCATGCATGCTTCCCTGTCCGCTCCGCCATTGGCGACTTCAGCTGTTGATCACCGGGTCCCGGCCGGTGATTCCCCACTGACACCTGGCGATCACCAAGTATCACTGACTGGGGAGAGGTCTGTATGTTAACAATCCAGATCTCTCCCGTCTGCTCCAGCACGCTGCTTTGTATGGCTCTGCATATCAGAACCATACAAAGCAGCGTGCTTACACAGTAAAGCTGAGCACATAGTAAAACACACACAGCGCACAGTTAACCTTTTGGTCGCCTCAGATGTTAACCCCTTCCTGCCCAGTGTCATTAGTACAGTGACAGTGCTTTTTATTAGCACTGATCACTGTATTAGTGTCACTTGGCATGTCAGGGACAGAACCACCCCAGTGTCAGAATGCCTGTCACAGTCTCACTATAAGTTGCTGCTCGCCGCCATTACTAGTATAAAAGAGAGAAAAATTCCAGTGACACTCGAAAAATTAGAATATCGTGCAAAAGTTCATTTATTTCAATAATGCAACTTAAAAGGTGAAATTAATATATGAGACTCATTACATGCAAAGCAAGATAGTTCAAGCCGTGATTTGTCATAATTGTGATGATTATGGCTTACAGCTCACGAAAACCCCAAATCCGCAATCTCAGAAAATTATAATAAATTGCATTTGGGTTCAGCATTGCATGATCGCGCAATTGTCAGTTAAAAATAATGCAGTGCCTGGTCAAGAAGGGGGATAAATCCTGTAGAGGGCAAGTGGTTAATGCTTTCAGCTTTTTGATTCTTATTTATACATCTCAGCAAAACTTAACATAAGTGCAGGTCCACGATGATACTATATTTTTTAGCAATATTAAAAATATTTAATAGCTTATTCACAGATAATGGAAAGACTGGCATTTTTCTGAACAGAATTCTTGCAGGTCACCACTAGGGCAGATAAGAAAAACAATTGTTATCGATGTGCCCCATTCACACAATACTGCTGTGATGTGTAACATAAAAAAGTAGCCATGCTGCATACACTAGATGTCATCACTGGTCACTGTCATCAATGTTGTACACTTCCAATAAATAAAAAAAAGTATAGTCTGTGACACCAGCCACACACTAAAACAGATTGGTTTAGTGCAAATGTCGCCTAAATGCATATTTGAAATATTTAGAAACCGCATAAGTTATTTGCGGTTATTTTTTTTGCTTAGATTTGTTGCAAGAGAACTGAATTTTTGAAATCATAAATGATCTCTGTTTTATTTGTTCTTATCCTCCTCTCAAAATTGAAATCGGCAATGACTGATTTTGCTTGCATCACTATTGGTGGCCTTTAGTCATCCGAATGCTTCATACAACAGCAGAAAGGGAGTTCCACCATTCCTTGCCAGGGGGAGGTGGAAAGTGGGAACCCAACATCTTAAAATTTGCAAAATGCGGATTGCATTTTATTGGATTTTTTTTCACATTTTAGAATCTTGTATGCAAAACATATCTAGTTAAATTGTTATGGCTTGTGTGCTATATGCCATGATGTCCTGCTTCTTGTTCATGTCATACTTCTTCACAAAGGTCCTTGTAGCTTACAGAAAATGCTTGAGACTGCCTGTATGTCAATGTTTTAGAAGTAATTCAAGGATCACTGCAATTGTCACTGACCATTATTGTGCATGCATATCATTAATAATGAAGAAGGTGCATGAGACTGTAAGCTCCTTTGGGGCAGGGACAGTTGAAAAGGTTTCTGTTTTCTATATAAAGCACTACCAATTATATGTTTGTACTGCTTAGATAAAATACCTTGCCATGATGTTTAAAAGAAAGCAATACAAACCTTGCTGACTTTTTTTTTTTCTTACGGTTTTTAAAGTATGTGTACATTATTAATAAAACAAAAGCATTATACTAATGACATCTAACAGAACAATTATCTGTTCCCTGTTCTCTTTTTCAGAGGAAAAGTTTGCCCATGCTGTCTGTTTTTTGCTGGTGGACTTGTATCTGTTAACGTATCAAACTGAGAAAGCATTACATCTGTTGGTAGTACTGGAGAAGATGATTTTGCAAGGCAGCAACAACAATAAAAATGGTAAAAATAACGAGGTAAGTGTCCACTTTACAAAGACAAAAATGTTACTTTTCAAAATGTAAAAAATGATGTGAAAATATGGACTGGTGCGCATCATCTATGAAGTGGGAGAGTCAGACCCGAGAGACCAGAAAGATATGACTCCTTTGTGCAGTAAAAGTAACACCTGAGGTAATAAGGTCGGCTGTACTTGCCAAAAAAATCAAGTGGCTAATTGTTCACTAGCATAAACAGGTTTGAGTAGTATCAGAAGATTTGGGGTGGGGCTTGGTGATATCATTACTGTGCTGTTCACTGTTCTCTTTACTGGAAGTTTTGATATGGGAAAGGACAGCCTGCCTTTATCAAGATAGCTGCCTTTGCCTCACATTGAGGCACAGTGCAGAACAAGGTATGGCAAGTAATAGGAAAAGATGAAATGCAGAGAGACCATAAGCAAAAATGGTTACTAGTACTCTGCCCTCTGCCTGCATTCTTTTTGGACACTGCTTCCAGAGTTCAGTTCCACTTTAAAATGCAAATTCCCAGAATGTTGGCCCCTGCAACGATCAGAAAATAAATACAATGGTTATCTTACTTTTATACCTTTTCTTTTATACACCCTCTCCATAACCCTGTTTATAAATGGTATAATTTGTGTTTATTGGTATTTTGTCATTTGGTGACCAGTAGTATTTTAGAAATGACATAGCTGAATTTCTGTTTTTGCAGCCAAACAATAACGCCAACAATAAGGAAGCTTCTAATATGAAGGCAGAAGCAGGAGCTCAACTTGAAGCTGCAAAGTCCAAAATTCACCAGGTATATATAAACATATATATTTGCTTTGTGTTACAGAAAAAGACAAAGAAAAGTAATTAACAAAAACAGCCCTCCTATAGAAAACCACTGAAAAATGTTCCTCTAATAAAGTAACCTAACCTATAAAGCATGTCTTTGGACTGGGAGAAACCGGAGTACCCAGGGGAAACCCACTTAAGAACAGGGAGAAAATGCAAACTCCATGCAGGTAGTATCCTGGTTGGAATAAGAGACCAAGGAACCAGTGCTGCAAAGCATGAGTGCTAACCACTATGCCACTGTGCCGCCTTAATTATCTATCTTAAAAGATGATGGAAACAGATGGCTCGGTCCACAGTGATGTTGATCATCTGTCCTCAATTCAGCAGCTGTATCTGTGGGGAGAGAAAAAAAAAAACACATGTATTAAGGGTTTTTTAAAAGAAATATGCTTATAAAACAAAAAATGTTATAAATAATTTTACCAGCTAACAAAACAATCACTGTTGCCCAACAATTGTCAAGGTGGGCTGTTTTGGGAGAAAAGAGCACCTGATGAAAGACACATACCGGAATCAATCAAGTGACCCTCTGCCTGCGCAATGGACAGTTTCTTGTCTGTTGCATCCATCTTCTGATTCAGCCTAAGCAGCTAAAAAACAACCAGCAAAATGTTTTTGTGTTTTGTTTTGTATAGAGCAGGGAATGCTTAAAACCTCTATTAGGTTTCATTGCTTCTTGGGAAACCAATGGGTTCTACTCATGTCCTTCTCATTACTATCACTCTGACCTCCAATTTGTGCTATCAATTATCAGTGAATTAGCCCTGTAAGAGCTCTATAGCCTTTGGCAGCTAAGCGGGCAATCAAATAAGTTGGAGGTTGTGATTCTGAGTAAATACAAAGCTAATGTTCATATTGTAACTACCCAAACTTCCTTCACAGTGCAGAAGGCTTTATTTATCTGATCTACCAATTTATTTCTAGATTTTACTCATTTGATCGCTCTGTAATAAGGATCTGAATGTTACCGAACCTTACAGATTACATTCACTATAATGGGCTCCAGTGTCAATAGGCTCTATTCACAAAGCTTTCACACAAGGATAAGGATCCTTATTTTAAAGAAAGTGACCATTTTGGCAGTTGGCAGGATGTCATTGTTCAGTTATTCAATTTACACAGCTCGTGCTGCCAGATTAAATTCCATAGTAACTGGTGGGTCTGTGGAGTAGAATTCTCCAGTGATGACAGCGGCCATTCATCTATAACTTGGTAGATCAAATGCAGACTGTAGGTGAGAGAAGAAAAGTTAGATTTCAAAATCATTTCTAAATGTTTTTACCAGATATTAAAAACAATCACTTTTACTCAGAAATAATAAAACTGATAGAAAAGACTAAAAGATGTAAGACACTTACCCATACATAGTGAGCGACCCTTTTTTGGCAGTGTGGACAGGTTCTGCTCTCCTGTATCCACCTTGTAATGCAGTCAATGTGAAATTGGAGGGCACAGGGTATTCTGGTGGTTTCAGCTTCCTCCTTTTATCTTCCAGTAGACAGATGCTGCACTTAGGCAGCTCCTCCCTGCGCTGGTTACAGACAGGTGGACTCTGGAAGGTCCCTGGTTCTGGCTGGCTCTGATCAACTGGAGAGTAGTTATTGTCCAAGGTTCTGGTCTCTTCCAGAACTCTAGGAGAGCTGTTCTTAGGTTCCTGGGGCCATTTTGAAGCTCTGAAATCTCTGATATGATGTATAGGAGAATCTTGGCCTGCAAAAACAATGATGTTTACTTAATGAGAGGTGCTTCACTCCCCTCTAATGCTAAAGGCATGTTCCAAATGTTATTTCTATACTTTTAACTTTTTTCATTTGTATAAATTCACTGCAGTGATCTTGGGACATTGTCCTCAGTAGCAGTAGAATGTCCAGGCAGAATGTCCTTCTATTGCATTTTTGATATTCTCAAATATATAGAGAATAGATCCACCTCTGTAACTGCTGCTACAGATGTGTAGAGCAAGGAGCTCCAGGACAGGACAAACATGAGACAAATTTCTGCAATTCTAACCTAAATATGATCACCAGCAATTTTATATACTCCTTTTTATAACTTTATGGAGGATGCATGGATCCCCATGTATATGGCCCCAAACCAAAACATTTCTTGTAGAGCAGGTAAAGCTTAGAGCCTCTGTTACCTTTTATTGCTTCCTTGAGAACCAGGAGGGAGATTTCTACTCACTTTCTCCGTGACACCAGGAGTTTCACTTTTACTTTCATTGAGATCTCAATTTTGTGTGGACTGGCCCTTTTAAGAGCTGCTTGTTTGGCAACTAAGCAGACAGTTTGAATAAAGCAGCAGACATGATTCTTAAGCCTGATACACACTGCAAGTTTTTTTTTTTCTCAAACCAGCAGGTGGAACGAAAAAAAAAATGTACAGATCACCATACCAACACAAGCGATGATGATGCGGTGCTTTCCTTCGCTGTCTATTGTATTGTGACCTGGTGACTCCCCCCCCCCCCAGAATACACTGATCAGCACTTTCAGCCATTGGCAGCAAGAACAATTGTATGCTGGAAAACCAGCATGTCCCTTCAACAAAAGCTGGCAATTAGCCTGGCTTCTGTCAGACTGCTGTACACACTGACCGAAAGTCAGTTGGGTCCTGCTAAACCAGATGATTTTGAGACCGTGTTTACCCAGCTTTATACAAAGCTTTTGTTTACTTTTTAACTAACTCAGGCCTCAAGCCTCCTTCACAGAGTAGAAGGTGTTTTTCCATGAACCTAACAAAAATTGTATTATTTTACCCAGCAGTCCTTGTTTAGTTGGCTCTCCATTTACAAAGCTGATGGAAAATGAGGCCCGACTTGACCCAGAATTGACCAGGGGAGATGAAGGTCATGATTCCATAATTTTGGTATAGGAATGACACGCTTTGCATACCAAGGGTACCTTTGCTGGCAGATGGGACAGGTGGAGTCCCTCACTTGTGCCCATCTCATGATGCAATGGTGGTGAAATTGGTGGGAGAAGGGAAGGCTGGTAGATTCTGTTCCCTCTTCCAATTGTTGTAAGCAGATGCTGCATGCGGGACACTCCTCACTCTGCTGATCATGAAGAGGGGGGTCTCTGGATGTTCCCTGGATCTGTCTGGTTCCGAATTACTGCTGGTATCTCGAGGGAGAGTCAGGATTCTGATGTCTCTGCCGCTGATGTGCATTAATGGACAATGACTGCATTCTGTGTCTCGGAGTGAAATCATGGTTCAGACGTCTGATGGAAATGACGTTCAGACTGTCTGTCCCGTAGTGGAAATCTTGATCTTTTCCTTTGGGTTATGGGAGAAACTTGCCCTGCAAAAGCACTTTTCCCTCTATCATTTATCAAAAACAGATAAATCAATTTTAGGTAGACTAGCCCTTTAAGAACTTTGTGGTGCTTGGGGGTTAAAAAGCTAAAAAAAAAAAAACAAAAACAGCAGACTTCGTTCTGAGTAATTGCAAAACAAATAATTATGTTCCTTAACTACTTGGCCTTCGGAAGCTTCACCCCCCTTCATAACCAGGCCATTTTTTGCAATCCAGCGCTGCGTTACTTTCACTGAAAATTGAGCGGTCATGCAACACACAAATAGCGCTTTCTTTTAGTGGTATTTTGATCACTTCTGTGGTTTTTATTTTTTGGGCAATAAAAAAATTACTGACATTTTAAAAAAAAACCAAAACATTATTTTTTACTGTCTGCTATAAAACATATCCAATAAGAAAAAAAAATTAAAAAATCTAATTTCTTCATAAAGTTCGACCAAAATATATTCTGCTACATGTTGTTGGTGAAAAAATCCAAATAAGCGTATATTGATTGGTTTGCGCAAAAGGTATAGCGTCTACAAATGGCGGTGTGTATATATATGTGTGTGTGTATGTGTGTGTGTGTGTGTGTATATATATATATATATATATATGTGTGTGTGTATATATATATATATATATATATATATATACTGGAATTTTTTGTTTTATACTAGTAATGGTGGCGATCAGCAACTTAAAGTGGGACTGCGATATTGTGACAGTCTGATACTGACACTTTGTGGGAATCAGTGACACTAGTACAGTAATCAGTGCTAAAAATATACACTGACATGGTACTTATGACACTGGTTGGGAAGGGGTTACATATCTAGGGCGATCAAATGGTTAATTGTGTGCCTAGTCAGTGTTTTTGTGTGTACAGTGTGTGGTTTTTACTGGGCAATCTGCTAGAATTTATTCCCTGAATAAAATCTAGGAGATCGCTGCTGACAGATCACAGCTCTGCCATGTTTACGCAGGCAAAGCTGTGTTCTGTCAGTCTCCTCAGTGATCAACAGGTGTTGGTGCTCATCCATTGGCCGGCACCTGTTAATTGGCTTCTGCTGTCTCTAATCACAGCAGAAGCTGAGCTCCAGTAGCACGCTTACACCCTCAGTGGCCGAAATGCAAAATCACATTTATATATGTGATTTTGCACAGAACCTCCTCCCTGTAGCAGTAAAGCTGCTATAGGATGGACGGAAAGTGGTTAACAGAGCAGGAGGCTTTATTCATCTATTCTAGCCATTGTCAGCTAGGATTCCTTCAGAGGTTGCTAGGGGTTCCTTGAGCTGTGGTTGATTGGCCTCCCATTGATGGTGCCTGTATAGTTTCAGGGCCATAGCCAATTGGCAAAACCAACAGCATGACACCAACTATCTATTTAGCTGTCTGTAAGGGCGGTATTCTTCCCACTGGCCACCAATGTAAGGGGTAAGTTAACACTCATCCCCAATGAAGTGGTTATAACAAAGATTCCTCAAGACCTAAATGTTATTTCAAGGGTTCCTGTATGAAACTGTCAATTTGAGCATTTGTTTTTTCTTCTTTTAGCTCAACAGAGATTTGGCAAATTTGTATTTTGAACATTGAAGTAACCATTATTTTCAGCTCAGATTTGAAGATGTCAGTTTAAAAATAGAAATCTTTATCTTTATGTTAAGGCTGTGTGAATTGAGTCTAATCATTTCTACACAAATTGAAGGGCCTGTGTCCATCCCTGGGATTTTGTTTGTTGTCAAGGGAGTTTTGAATTTCTATACAAGTCTATGGAAATGCTAAACGTGTTTAACACTGGTTAACCACTTCAATACCGGGCACTTTTCCGCCTTCCTGCCCAGGCCAATTTTCAGCTTTCAGCGCTCTCACACTTTGAATGAGAATTGCGCAGTCATGCAATGCTGTACCCAAACTACTTTTTTACGATTTTGTTCACTCAAGTAGAGCTTTCTTTTGGTGGTATTTAATCACCACAGGGGTTTTTGTTTTTTTGCTAAATTAACGAAAAAAGCCTGAAATTTTTGGGGAAAAAAAAAAGCATGTTTTTCTTTTGTTTCTGTTATAAAATTTTGCAAATAATTGTTCTTCATAAATTTAGGCCAAGATGTATTCTGCTACATTTCTTTGGTGAAAAAAACCCAAATCAGTACTTATTATTTTAGTATGTAGGAAAGTTATAGAATTCACAAACTATGGGATATATCTGAAATTTGATCAATCCTGCAGTACTGATGGCCAATCTAATATCTTGTGCCCCAGAAATATCAGGACAGTACAGATATCCCCCAAATGACTTCTTTTTACAAAGTAGACAGTCTGAGGTATTTAATAAGAGGCATGACAAGTTTTTTTGAAGTTGTAATTTTTTTGTCTTTTTTTTCTACATATTGTCACCAGTGCAGTACAGCGCCATCATATAACTGGTTTGGCGGTGATCAGGGACACTGACTGGTGACAGTACGAAGAAAAAAAGAAATCACTTTTTTCCCCTTCATTTCCTAATTAATTTAATAATTCTGACAATTTTTTTTTATTTTTTTTTAAGATTTATTTTCATAATACACTGTAACCAGAGTAGTATAATGTTACCATAGTAACATTGTACTACTCTTGGAAGTGATCAGTATTTTTTTTTCTTTGCTATAAGCAAGCAGTTAACTGAATGAAATTGATTCATTCAGGTTTTTTTGTTGTGATTAGCTGTGATTGGCCACGGCTAATCACATGATACAGATGGGCTGTGATTGGCCCGGTCTGTACATGTGATCACTGTGACCAATCACAGCTAGTGACACAATTGTATACAATGGATGGCATGAAAGGAAGCCATCAATTGTTTACAATTGTCATGCGACCTGCTGTGATTGGTCACAGCAGGTCACATGGTACTGGCAACTGGCTGCTACACAGATCTGTCATCAGCTGTGCCCGAGGTGCACAGCTGGTCACAGATCTTGCCACAGCGCAGCGTGATACAGGAAGGACGTCATATGACACCAACCCAGATTGAAGTAAGTCCTGCTCGGCCATCACTCTGCTATTGGCCGGACAGGAACAGGTTAAAGGGGGATCAAAAGGAGGTCAACTGCAGGTCAGTTTTACTTTTCAATAAATTCTTATTGATGTTCACCAAAAAAATCCGCAAATGCTGAACATAGCAACTGTTTCCCATGAAAGTCTATGGGAGACTAATTTTATTTTTTTTAACAAGGACATGTGCCAATGCAAAAACAAGTATTGTTTAGTAGGGAGCTGGTCTTTTAATGCGACCTTAAAGCAGAGTTTCAGTTACACTGTGAAAAAATAAGTCAGCAGCTACAAAAAAAAGCCACTGACCTGTCCCTCGATCACGTGGTGTCCACCCTGCAGCCTGGTTCATCAGCTGCCCTGTGCTCCTGGCGTGTCACAGCCAGGAGCCTACTGCGCAAGTAGCTCTGTGCTTTCTGAATTGTCCTGTAGTCTTCTGGGGCCTGTCATGTGGCCCAAAAGACTACAAGGTGAGAGGGGGGATGGAGGACATCTTCTGCTTCGGATCGCCAAGGCAATCACAGCGGAAATGGGAGCAGGTACCTGTCAATTTTCGGGTATCCACTCCTCAAAGGTGCCAATCCTTAATGGGCAGCGGGGGACCAATCTTTAAAGCTGAACTTCCCCTATTGGATGGAGCTCCTCTTTAAATAGCAACATTTCAGATACACAGTTCCTCATTTATAGGAATATTTTCATTTTTTGTGCACACTTTAAAATCTGGATTTTTTTGTCCATGAATTCATTTTACACTGATAGAACATTATATATTTTCTGAATGCAGAGGCCATATAGCAGTGTTCTCCAAACTGCGGTCCTTTGCCCACCTTTATCCCACCTTTGAGGTACTATTCTTATCATTGATGCAAAGCATTATTCCTTCTATTCACACCAGCAATAAGGTACCATTCTTTCCACTGCAACCAACGATGGGGTGTATTTTCTCTTACTGACACGAACGGTGGGATCCTTTTCCTTTCACTGATAGCAACGAATAACACTTTTTATTTATTTATTGATTACAGGTACTTATATAGCGCTGTCAATTTACGCAGCGCTTTACATATATATTGTACATTCCCATCAGTCCCTAACCCTCAAGGGGTGTACAATCTAAGGTCCCTAACTCACATTCATACATACACATACTAGGGCCAATTTAGACAGTATCCAATTAACCTAGCAGCCTGTCTTCGGTAGGTTCCTTCCACTGACGCCAAAGATGGGGCACTATTCCTTCCACCGATACCAACAACGAGGCAATATTTCTTTCACGGATGCCAACGAATGGGCACTATTCCTTCCACTGACACCAAAGATGGAGCACTATTCCTACCACTGTCACCAACGATGGGGCACTACTGACACCAACTATGGGCACTATTCCTTTCATTGAATCCAATGATGGTACACCATTCCTTCCACTGACACCATTGTTGGGGCACCATTTCTCCCACTGACATTAATGATGGGGCACTATTCTTGCCGCTAATACCAATGATGAATCACTATTCCTCTTACTAAAACCAATGATGAGGCACTATTCTCCCCATTGACACCAATGATGGGGCACTATTCCTCCCACTGAAACCAGTAATGGGGCTCTATTCATCCTCCTGTTGACCACAGGCGCTATGTAATTTATTTTACTCTCACTAACCACCAAGCCGAGGAATTTATTTTACTCTCACTGGCCTCAGTCTGACCCGCCTAGAGTCTTAAGGATAACAAAGTGGCCCTTTGCTTGAAAAGTTTGGAGACCCCTGTGTTAGAGCATTATAGATTTTCTAGGGAGCATAAAATTAAACATTTTTTGGTTGTGTTTATTTTTTTAAATTTAAAAATAATAAAGAAAATGAAAGCTAATAAAGTATCAGTGATGTGACTATGTGGTTGATGTGGCTACATTGCTTTGTAATCTAAGGTTGTTGATTTCTTTTCCAGTACAAAGTAAGGGCCTACATTCAAATGAAGTCTCTGAAAGCATGTAAGAGAGAAATTAAGTCTGTCATGAACACATCTGGAAATGTAAGTGTATAAATGTAAGATGGACATGTCTTTTTCAACTTGATTATCTATATAGTTCTTTTACAACCTTTTGAGCCCCAGCCAATTCTGACATTCCTCTCCTACATGTAAGAATCAGCATTTTTTTTTTGTTAGAAAGTTGCTTAGAATCCCCAAACCGTATATATTTGTTAAGCAGAGGCACAGAGAATAAATTGGTGGGTGTTGCTTTTTTTTTTGTGTGCAGAACCGACGTGTGCGTTCGCCTTTTGCACATGAGCATAGGGGGACGAGAGCATATTTTAAAAAGCCTGACAGTAGTATTTATTTTTCTTAAGTCTATAAAAGCTTTGGCTGCACTTGAGCTTTAAAATATACTGAATTCTGAAAAACTGTGTTGGTTTTCGATGTTTGACATCTTTCTATTGTAAAAATTTGTTATCAATTGTTTACAGTCCACATCATCGCTATTTTTGAAGAGTAATTTTGAATACCTCAGGGGTAACTGTAGAAAAGCTGTGAAACTACTAAACTCTTCAAATATATCAGAACATCCTGGGTTCATGAAAACAGGTACGTGTGAATACATTTTTTGGAATTCTAACATTAAGGCACACGTCTGTGTTGCGTTATTAACCAGAGAGCACAGCCCACATAAATAATGAGCCACAGCTGCCCCTACGTACATACAGTATAAATCACAACAGTTTACTAGGAACGCCTGTACACCTGCGTATTCATGCAATTAGGTAATCAGCCAATCATGTGACATGAGCTTAATGCACAAAACAGGTGAGAGCTTACAGTAAACAGAATGGGGGGATGTAATTGTGACCATGGCATGAATGTTGTCGTCAGAACGGTTTGCTCAACTGATGTCCATGCATCTCTTGGCAAGGCTTTTGTGGTGTAGTGCAACACATGGCTTCTTAAAGATGGTTGTGCTTATAAAGCCTGTATTAGGTATTTCTAAAAGATGTAGAAATGACAGTGTAAGGAACAGAAACAAGCTGATAATTTCCTGTATACTCTGCCTCTGATGCACTTTTATCAGTTACATTATTTTCAGCTATCTCTGTGGACTAAAGAAAACAAACTTCATGTTATAGAGAAAAGGAAAGAGGGAGGTATTTTGTAGTCCTAACATGCTGTCAGTCCCAGGGTGACGACTACTTCTCCATAGATACAGGACAGTGGGCGACGAGTGTTGCCACCCGAGGAAGTGAATTGTGTTCATGACAGAATCACCAGGTGAAAATAAATGAAAAAAAAAAAACCCTGAAAAAATTAAAACAAACGCAGCCATCACATCTAAGATAAGCTGCATTATTACTTTTTTTGTTCTGTGGTTTAGACACGCTTCAAATGGTAACACTTTGGAAACTGGTGCAGATTTGACCTGCACAAAGCTATTCATACCAACAATTCAACTTTTTTTTTTTTTTTTTAGAAGTCTGTTTTACTGACTCTTAAGTAGTTAAGAAACCGAACAGACTCCACTTGAGCCAACCTGCAAAGGGGAGGTCACTTATAAAAAGAACTTATACACCCATTTAACTAACAATATGCTGTACTTGGCAAAATGGCCCATATGCCAGGCCACGTAGCCATGAGGAGTGTGGTGAAGCTTTTCCTTATGTCAGTGGGGCCCCTAGTCGACAGAAAGTGGGCGGAGCTCAGTTAGCTGCATATATATCAAGAACGGGATTCAAGGGTCAAATCCACAGCAGCCGCCTTGCCTATACATCATTAAAATGTTTCCTACTGCCCCTGTTTTTATAAGTATCCCAATATAGAGGAAAGTTCGAGTTAGCCAAATGATTCCAAAAACAAACGAGGGAGGAGAGGCCTTCTTCCAGTGCACATTGATTTGCTTTCTGGCATTGGAGAGCAATGGGTCCAAAAAGCATCCTTTCAGCAACAGTAGGGGCCATGTCCTCGACCAGGTCCAGTAAGCATATTTTTGGTACTGGGGTGAGTCGGGTCTGGTCGACTGTATTAATTTTGTCCACAACCTCCATACAGAACTGGGCAATGAAGGGACAGATCCAGAAGATATGAAAAAAAAAAAATCAATCCTGTCCGACTGATCTCATCTGCAGCAGGCAGGTGACAAGGTTGGTCTTAACTTGAGGAGCCTGTGAGGAGTAAAGTATGTGCTATGGAGAATTGGATCAGCCTGTCCTGGACAGAGGCCAGTTTGCAGAAGGGTTTGCATCCCAAATATCAGTCCAGTCCTCATTGTCCATATCTTCTTCTAGGCATTTCCTCTGTAGGCTGGAGAGGTCAGAATGGGTGATGAAGATAGAGTGTTGACACAAGAACGGAGTTGGCTTGGAAAGCTGGTTTGTACAAAGCAGGTTTTTGAGTGAAGTACAGCACAAAGATAATCCCTGGCGAGGGATCTAACAGGCTATAGTAGGCGTGGGAAAGTTGCAGATATCTGAATCTGTAATAGGACAGTAGATTGTATTTTTTGACAAAGCTGATCAAAGGACATCAATTGCCCATTCTCAGAAATGTGTGCCTGGGTCTTAATTTGGAATTTGGCCAAACAAAAGGGGCCAGGGAAGCATATGACAGTGGGGGAAGGAAGGAATTATTCCATAGTGGGGTAAAAGGAGAGGACAGAAGGAGGCTGTACCTCTCAACTAAACCCCACTGACCAGGCTCTAATGGTGGCCTTCAGAAGAGGGTTAAGGGGATAAGGCACCATGATACCATGTAATAAAAGATGCCTTAGTGCTTCCAGGGAATTTAAAATGGCTGCTTCCAGCTTGGTAGAGAAGTTGTTTAAATGTGGTGCCAGACACCAGTGAGCAGTAACCAACTGTGTGGCTATGAAATGCTTGTAGATATCCGGCAAAGCTAATCCAGTCTGCTAGGTCAGCCTAGTCCAGTGTTTTAAATTTGTAGCATCGGATCCCCATAAAGAGGAGGATAACAATTGATTAAGCTGTTTAAAGAATGATTTAGGGATCCATATAGATGAATTTCGAAAAAGGTAGGTGAACTGGCATAAGACTTTCATTACAATCAAATTAATACAACCGAGAAAAGCTTTCTCCATGCCTTCAGCCTATTAACATCTGATAACACAGAAAGCAGATTCAGTTCCACATAGGATTTAACATTTCAGGATACTACCACCCCCAGATACACTATATTGGCAAATGTATTGGGACACCCCTCCAAATCATTGGATTCAGGTGTATAAAATCAAGCACCTAGGCAGACTGCTTCTATAAATATTTGTAAAAGAATGAGTCTTTCTCAGGAGCTCAGTGAATTCCAGTTTGGTACCGTGATAGGTTGCCACCTGTGCAATAAGTCCATCCGTGAAATTTCCTTGCTGCTAAATATTCCACAGTCAACTGTTAGTGTTATTATAACAAAGTGGAAGCAACTGGGAAAAACAGCAAATCAGCCGTGCGGGGTCAGCGCATGCTGAATCGCACAGAGTGCAGAAGTTGCCAACTGTCTGCAGAGTTGATAGCTAAAGACCTCCAAACTTTGTGTGGCCTTCAGATTGGCGCAATAACAGTGTGTAGAGAGCTTCATGGAATGGGTTTCCATGGCTGAGCAGCTGCACCCAAGCCTTACATCAAGTACAATACAAAGCATCGGATGCAGTGGGTGTAAAGCATACCATCACTGGACTCTAGAGCAGTGGGGATATGTTCTCTGCAGTGACAAATCACGCTTCTCTGTCTGGAATCCAATGGACTTGTCTGGGTTTGACGGTTGCCAGGAGAATGGTACTTGCCTGACTGCATTGTTCCAGGTGTAAAGTTTGGTGGAGTGGGGATTATGGTCTGAGGTTGTTTTTCAGCGGTTGGGCTTAGCCCCTTAGTTCCAGTGAAGGGAACTCTTAAGGCGTCAGCATACCAAGACATTTTGGACAATTTTATGCTTCCAACTTTGTGGAAACCGTTTGGGGATGACCCCTTCCCGTTCCAACATGGCTCTGCGCCAGTTCTAATGTTCTCACGTGTAGGCCTTGAAGGCATCCTAGACGAAGTCAGGGGAGGTGGAAGCCTCATTAGTGTGCCAGTAATCTTGTATGACAACGGGGGTTTGCTCAACAGCTTTCGGATGAGATATCCATTGTGGACCCAGTCTGCACTTTGATCTGTTGGGGACCTAAGAGGTACGCAGAGACTGAGACAAAGGATAGTGGTCTGAGATGCACCTCCGGGAGATATACTGCATCAATGATATCAGAGAGCAACAAGGGATTAGCAAATGGCAAATCTAAATGGGAGGAAGTTCTTTAAGTGACAGAAGAGCAAGCTCTAGCTCTAGTTTCAGGGTGATGTGATCTCCAGACCTCAACCAACTTAGCTGCCAAAGCCTGGTTGGAGAGGTCCCCTGTGTGTGAGGTAGATGGAGTTGATCTGTTCAGGTCCAGGGATAAGGTAGCATTAAAGTCCCCCATGAAGACAACTTTTGCTGGATAACAGGAGTTAACCTTATCTAACAGCACATATAGGAGGTCTGATAAAAACATAGCTGGAAGGTGGATATTCAAAAGAACATATCTCTGGTTCCATATAGTGATTTTTAAAATAATGTATTTACAATTTTTGGATCTGTGTGAACACCCTCAGCTGAACAAAGTAGGGATTTATTAAATAAAATTGATACGCCCCTAGAGTATGAAGAGTATGTGACATTGGATGCTTTTTGGACCTGGGGTCTCTTCAAAGAGAGAACCTTGCTTCTCGCCAAATGCCTTTCCTGCAAAAAGAAAACATGGGGGGGTGAAATTTGAAAACTTGGAATAGCAACGTCCTTTTAAAATTTAGAGTTGAGCCCCTGATATTCCAAGATGTCAAATGGAGGCAATCTAAGTCTCGGGTTACCCATAGCATGATTGACTTAACATACAGTACCTGCAGTGGAAGATGTAAAGAAAAGATTTGTTCACCAACTTAATAGTACTGTAGATAGAACTGAGCCAAGGTGAGAGAACAGCACTATACAGCTAAAATCCAACATTTCAACACAAGAGAATTGAACACAATATTTTTAATACAAGCTACTTATGCCAAACATGATCCTAAGTGTTCAGTTGGTGTGCTAAGGAAAATTAGTTCCTAAAAACAAATTGTTAAAAATAAAACCTTTTCAATGAGCCTTTCTTATTCGTACACGGTAGATTGTGCTTTTATGCAGTCTAGCTCTTGTTCTGTTTCTTCGTTAGCAGTCACAGGCTGTTGTTGAACATTACCAATACGCCTCTAGCTAATATTATTCTATGGAGAGTATTAGTTGAATGAGCTGCTGTTTGCTTTATTAAACCAACTTCTCAAAGTATTGATTTCTGCTATCTGCTTGCACAAGAGTAATGCCCTGTAAATTCCAACTTGTCCTGAGGGCACACTTTCACTTAAACTCGGTAAGAACATCTGATGGCATTCCTTGCATCAAATGAAACTTGGTCACATTTCTTCGTTGGATCCTTTTTTTCTCTGAGAGTTTCAACCTGATGTCTTATTTTAATTTTTAGAGGTTCTTATGTAATAGCAAAATACATATCTCCTAATATCCTCCCATAATTATTATTATTTATTTTTTTTTTTATCCCCATGTATCCTATAGAAATGTTCTCAGGGTCTTGTGTTTTAACCACTTGAGCCCCTTGGAACTTCTTGATTCCCTCCTAAAACCTAACTCCAGGTTTTGTGTTACTTTAAAAAGTTTGTTTCGGCCAAGCTGGCCCAAACACACTTTTTCCATTACTAAGAAATGCAGCTGTTGTCAGCACAAAATGGAGTCAGGCTGAATGAATGAATACGAGGCTCCGTCTGATTTGGCTGATGTGGGTGGATGACATCATGAGCTCCATCTCAGCCAATCAGAGGAAGCCATGTATTCATTCATAAAATACAAGGCTGGGCAGTGCCCAGCCTGATTCCTACAGTTTATACAGTGCTGACAGTCACATTTTTTAGTAATGGAAATAGTGTGTTTGGACTAAGCTGGCCAAAAACTATTTTAAAGTAATACAAAACCTGGAGTTAGGCTTTAAATCCTGAAGCGTTTTTTTTTTTTTTTTTTTAGCATCTGTAGTTTACCCTAACATAATATACATTGTATCTTTTAAGAACAGATAGGATTTTAATTTGGCAGCAAATTTTGATACATAAAACATTTATTTCCTTGTTTTTATCATTTACGCTCTCCCTTTATATTTACCACATAATTTAACCAACAAAGTCTGCTGATTTAAACTATCGCATTAGTGTGACTTATGTAATATAGCAGAATGGTAAAGCTCAAAGTGATATAGCAGAATGGTAAAGCTCAAAGTGAATGTATGCATTTTTAATCCCTTTTTATGGCTACATTGTGATGCATGCGGGGTGGGGATATGGTTAGCATAATAAATAAATTTAGTGCAGCGCTAAAATGAAATTAAGTTACTGGATAAAAGTTCGTTTAAAAGTTTGTGCAATCAGTAAAATGCCTATATAGCACCAATAAAAACTTCCACAGCTGTAGATATCTCATAAAAGCTTGTGACAGGAAAATGGCAGAAATGCACACTCACCGACCGCGCATAGGAAATGCCCATATAAGTAACCATCAAACGGAGTGTAAAACAGCAGGTAGATGGTGAGGCATCCCTCGGGAAAAGGTCATCAAGCTTGGGTGAAGTGATGGTCAGCTGGACTCAGAGGACTCCTTTAAGGATGTGTGGGTGAACAACCTGGATACAGGGCTCCCTCCTCTGGATGTTGGATATAGTGGAAGTTGTGCTGTGGATCTAATAGCCCCTCAATGGGGGGCCAAAAAGAAAGGAAGTGCCAATAGTGTAATAATTTTGGTACTTTATTGGATATATATGGTAAAAATAGTAGTGGTGTTGTAGGGCATGAGTACAAATAACAATGCCAAATAATTAAAAAGAGCAGAGTATTGCACAAACCCTGAAGTAAGATGGCCGCCGGACCTCCTCGTGGTCCCGGCGGCGATGACGTCACACGTTGTCAGCTCCTCCCAAGGCCTTTCGTGCTAAGGCTCATCGTCAGAGAGTTGGCCTCCCCTCTGACGATGTACTACTATTTTTATCATATATATCCAATAAAGTACCAAAATTACTACACTATTTGGCACTTCCTTTCTTTTTGGCCCCCCATCGAGGGACTATTAGATCCACAGCACAACTTCCACTATATCCAACATCCAGAGGAGGGAGCCCTGTATCCAGGTTGTTCACCCACACATCCGTAAAGGTGTCCTCTGAGTCCAGCTGACCATCACTTCACCCAAGCTTGATGACCTTTTCCCCTGAGGGATGCCTCACCATCTACCTGCTGTTTTACACTCCGTTTGATGGTTACTTATATGGGCATTTCCTATGCGCGGTCGGTGAATGCGCATTTCTGCCATTTTCCTGTCACAAGCTTTTATGAGATATCTACAGCTGTGGACGTTTTTATTGGTGCTATATAGGAGTTTTACTGATTGCACAAACTTTTAAAAGAACTTTTATCCAGTTACTTAATTTCATTTTAGCGCTGCACTTCATTTATTTATTATTAGTATATGAGGTTATTGTGATTTCCTCAAGTGTTTTAGCCGCTATTTCCTTTATGAGCGCTCGCTTTACCTTCCTTTATAAGGTTAGCATAAATTGTTACAGCAAGGTTGACGGTAGCACAAATAAGAATAACGGCGACTTTTCTACAGATTTGTGGTCGCTAAAAATACAAATGATTTTGCGTTCATTTTATGTAGACATTTGAGGCATATAACCATCCAGATTATCCAACATCATTGTTGCGACAACACTGTAGAGGCAGCGAGAGGCTGGACAGAGCTGTAACACCTGTGCTAGAGCATCCATACTGGTAGCAGGTGCTCTGACATAATAATTATACTTCTGATGCAAACACCGTACAGAAGTTTTTTGTTTAGGTTCTCTTCTACAGTGTGCACCTATAGATGATCGCTGCAGCTCCACTTAGTACTGGACCCCGCCTGTCAGCGGTTCCAGCATCAGGTGTCGCTAAGCCCCAGTGCCATTCTAAAATACCAGTTGGGATTCAATTAGTTAAAAAATTTTAACTACATTTCCTTGAAGTTTAAACAACCTTTCTAGAAAATAGTATGATTGGCTGCTGTGTGAAGCACCTTTTAATTTTCTTTTAATACGTGAGGCCAATTTATTTTAGTATTCTAGATTGAATCTAGAGGATTTAAAATCCTACGATTATTCCAGTTAGATTGGTATGGTATTTTGACTCTCCTAACAATCATTAAAGAGTAACTCAATTCTTGTTGAACAAAAAACATCCCCTCTGAGCAGTGTACATTGCAAGGATTTTAACAAACTATTGCAGATTCCTGCCTGTTTTTGCTCTGAAGAAAAAGCTGTTTAGTTATATTTGTGAGCAAAGTGAATCTGTATGGGAGTGACTTTTTCATTATCAATTAACTGATACACTTGCAGTGTTCTAATGAGGAACGTTAGTGTCAGCATCCCTTTAGAAGTGACTAACCCTTTGGGGGTATCTCACCAAAAATCACATTTTTGTTGCAGAAGATGCCTAAAGACTGATGTGTATCTTAGTGCATAGTTCTGGGAAAATCACTGATCCAATCACACAAGCAAGAAATGAAATCTGTGGTGGATTTCTGTACGGAATGCCTCCAATTGTATATGCTACATTTAAAATAAATAAATACACACACACATATGTTTGTGTGTGTGTGTGTTGTGTGTATATATATATATATATATATATATATATATATATATATATATATATATATATATATATATATATATATATAAATATAATATAAATTTTTTTTATTTATTTTTTTAATTTGCAATGTTTTTTTTCTAAACTATTTTATTTTTCACGAAAGTGTTGAATGCATGTAATCTGTCCATGTTAAAAAAAAAAACAACAAACAAACAAACTTTCAGTTCATACATATCAGAGACCTTGCCCTAATAAAATTTTTTGTTCTAAGGGGAATGTGTTCGATGTATGTTCTGGAACAATCTTGGCTGCATCCATTTTGCTATGGGAAAACACAATTTGGGGCTGTTCTACTTTAAAAAGGCTATTCAGGAAAATGACAACGCCTGTGCACAGTTAACCTCATCAAACATAGATCCAGGTAAGAACCTGACACTTTCCTTTCCTTAAGCGTTGGTGTTTACTGCAAATTAAAATAAACTTTTCAGTTAAATAATTGAAATCGGTTTTGCTCACTAAATGTGCGTTTTGCAGAGCCGTTTCTTCTCAAAAAGTATTGGAAGGATAAAGATCACAACCCCAAAGGATGCCAGCAATCCCAATATTTACATGCTTTTCTTTAAGAGCCAGAAATATATATTTTTTCACTGTAGTAATAAGTGTGGGTATAGGATTATAACTTTTTTTTTTTTTTTTTTTTTTTTTTAATGGTTGAACTGGATGAACTTTTTTTGTCTTTTTTTCAGCCAGATTAACTATGTAACTATGTGTACACTTTGTTTTTTTTCTGCATGAAAATACATTCCTAAAAATCCCGTTCATGACTTTAGGGGCTAGTTCATATCTGTAAGCTGAAAAGTGTTTTTTTTTGTTTTTTTTTCTTTTAATATAGGGAATGCTTCAAAATGCTTTTAAGTACAAATAATTAGTGTAGTATGAATTGTTGTTGTGTTTTTTTGGGTTTTTTTTTGCTTTTTTTTTACATCCTTTGGAGAACTCCTGAATGTTTCTCCCTCACTTGGCATTATGATTGAACAAGAAAAGGTGTAAAAAACATGCATAAAAATGTAATAAATGAATAAATGAACCATGCATTAAAAACACATTTTACTGTGACTACATAACAGTGAAAAAGCACCTATAGCATGTAATACATAACTTTTGTTCGGAAAGGCTACAAGGAGATTTAATTACAGTGCCAGGTAATGTTGCTCTAGAAAACCAGGAATGTTTTTTGTAAAACTAGTGTCATAGGTGATAATGTTTTATAAAATAAAGCTATATATGAATAATGATGTATAAAATCAAAATGTAAAGAGTCCATAAAGAGTTCCACCACTGAATGTCATGAGAATAACAAATATATTTTATTGTATTAACACAAACTATCCTAAATATAAATCCAACACAAGGGCTACCCTAACCCATAAAAACAAATGCAGCCTCCCAAGGTAATTAAATCAATACTGTATAATAGTTTGCACAAATAACACTAATTAAATTTGTTGAATGGGTATATATCAAGGAATGTGGACGGAGCAATGAAAGCACAAGAAGTCCCCTCAGATGTCCAATAATTGATTATCTTGTTGGAGTAGGACCCAGGTCAAACCAAAACTAAATATGAAAAGGCACAAATACACCTAATAATATCGTAAATACAAACACTCTTAGATGCCTAGGTACAAAATAGGGAAAAAAAATAATTTTGGTGTACAATAAAAAAAATTTAAGAATTCTGATCAGAAAAAAGGTGAATCATTGAGAAACTATCATAATGTACAATGTATGTCTAGTGACTGTGAAGGAAATGAAAGTATGAGAAGTAATCTAGATTATCCAACGTCATTGTTGCAACAACACTGTATGTAAAGGCAGGAATAGGCTGGACAGAGCTGCAAACGCTGTGCTAGAGCATCCATACTGATATAGCAGGTGCCGTGACATCATTATACTTCCAATGTAAACAATGCAGAAGTTTTTTGTTTAGGTTCTCTTCTACAACATGCACCTATGGATGATCGCTGCAGTTCCACTTAGTGCTGGACCCACTGCAGTTCCAGCATCAGGTGTTGCTAAGCCCCAGTGCCATTCTAAAATAGCATTTGGGATTCAGTTTGTTTAAACTCAGTATAGTAAATATTTTAAACCCTTTCTAAAAGCTAATTTGATTGGCTGCTGTGGCACCTTGGCACTTGATGCAACATGTTAAGTCAGCTGTGGGGTGCAACGTACAAGTCCAGGCTGTAGTCAATCCCTATGGAACCCAGTCCCTGGAGACTCCTTCCAGGGGTATGCTCACCTTGATGGATGGGGCCTGGACTTTAAGTACAGTACAGCATCCTGGACAGGTAAGTCAGGGTCACCCTCTATCTCTGACTGTTGCTGTATTCACTTCACAATGCAAAGTTTTCAAACTTTGGGCTAAACTTTAAACCATTCAGAACTAAGTCTCAGGTGGATGTCCAGGTGTTATATCACACCACTGGTCACACACTTTACACCACTTCTGCCTAGAGCCCTTATAAGGTACTCAAGTGATTCCTCCCTCCCTTTCGCCGTGAGGATTCATTACAGGGTCCTCTAAACCTGGGTTACCGTGTGCTCCTTTTTGGACACACATACTTTATTTCCTGCGCTATTTACTCCATTAGTACCCCCCAGGGGAATACCCTCATTTATAGCAGGAGTAGAGACCAGGGAGCCAATTAAAAATCACAAGTGAACATTCACTCTGCCAAAGTCCCACACAACACTCAATCTCAGCTCGACGAAGCGTCCCTTGTAGTGGAGCAGAACCTGGTTCTAACACCGTTGTCTGCTTCTGATTATAGCTCTATTTCAGGCACGCAGCATGTAGTCTACCTGAGTAAAGCAGATATTTCTACACTTGTCACAATTCCTTGGACAGATTACTATCCAACACAGTCACCTTTGTTTTTTTTCTCTTATTCTCATCCCTCAACCTGAGCTGAAACCTAATATGCTGGTCCTAGAGAACACAGACAGAGAAGGGAATGAAGAGGATATTAAAGCAGTACTGGAGGAAGTTGCAGAGTATTGTTCTTCTCCAGACTGCTTTTACATAGAAGGGGGAGCTTCATGTTAACACTAAAAAGTTTGTCTGTTAAAGCCTTGGCATTGTGCAACCTGACTCTCCTTTGTCTCAGCATGCCCCCTTTTACCCTGCAAAATCCTGCAAAATGTTCCCCGTTCATTAACAGAATGTACAGTCTATGATAAATGGATCACTCCTGAAAAGATTTTACTCCCCCCAAAATCTTTACTGAACTCTATCCAGTGGAAAGTGAGTTTGCAAAGAAGTGTGCTATTTCTGTAGTTGGTCCTACCTTTTCTGTCCTAAACAAACATTTAACTGTAGCTATTGAAGATGTTTTAAAGATTGTGCGGACAGGAAGTTTGAGTTGCTCCCAAAGACGCTCATTAATCTTGCAGGCCCAGCCCTGCAACTAGCTTTTGCTGCAATTTCAGTATGTAACTGGAATAAAACAATGAACAGCCAACCCTCAGTAATGTGCTGTTAAAAGTGCAATTACAGCATTGCCTTTTGCTCTTTTTGTGTAGATGCTCTAGAACAGGGGTGTCAAACTGGCGGCCCTCCAGCTGTTGCAAAACTACAAGTCTCATCATTCCTCTGTCTTTGGGAGTCATGCATGTAACTGTCAGTCTTGCAATGCCTCATGGGATTTGCAGTTTGACAACAGCTGGAGGACCGCCAGTTTGACACCTGTGCCCTAGAACATGAAATTAGACAAATTTACACAATGGTTCTAATATCCATTCACATGCACAGAATCATTTGGCTTAGCGCTTTGACTGCTGATGCTGCCTGCAAAAGGCGGCTCACATGTATGCCCTTTCAAGAAAGACACCTATTTGATAAAGAAATCAAGTGTCTAACCAAAGTTCATTGAAAGGAAAAGTTTTACTTCCACAAAGGAAGATTCCACAAACTTCTTCCTCAGGAACCTCTAGCACCTCAAAACGTAAAGCACCTGTCTGCTCTACCCAAGCTTCAGTTTCAATCCCAAGTTCAGTCCTGCCTTTGGCTCAAGGTTTGACCCACAAAGCCTTCCTCAAAGCTCTTTCCACAATGAAGGGGCACCCTCGCTCCTAAGAGAGGGGAGACAAATGTACAGTTTTCCTCATTCTAAGTCACAGATGTCTCAGACTTGAGGGTTTAATCAGTGGTTTCAAGAGGGTACAAAATAGAGTTCAAAACTTTGTCCCTTCAGCAGTTTATTCATTCAAAAGACTGTGTAAGGATGGTTAAGATTTGCAAAAGGCCCTGAACCACCTTTTTGTCCCAGGGAATCATTGTGTCAGCATCTCCATATCAAGTTCTACTCAAACTTGTTCATGGTACCAAAGCCCAGCAGGAATATTCACCCCATTTTGGACCTAAAACCCATCAACAGCTTCAAACTGAATAAAGTCTGCATGGAATCTACAAGATCAATAATTGCAGGGAATACCTGGCACAAGTGGATATCCAAAATACTGTTCTGCATGTTTCCATGTACTCACCTCATCAGCGTTTTTGTACTTCGCAGTGGTAGAAAATCACTTCCAGTTTGTTTCACTGCCCTTCGGCCCATTCTCTATTCCCAGAGTGTGGGCCAAAAAGGTCTTAGCACCTCTTTTTGCCCTGCTCAAAACCAAGGGCATTGAGGTCTTGGGCTATCTAGATGACCTTCTGAAGGACTCATCTCCTGGTCAGTTGTCAGACTATTTAACTGCTCCAGGCTTTCGGCTGGGTGATCAATTAAAAAGAAAAAAAAAAAAATCAGCTCTCTCTCCTCTCTTTGTCTGGATTACTTGGGTCTGGTCCTGGATACATCCCAAACAAGAGTTTTTCAAGAAAAGTATTTCTCTTAAGAGCTGATGCTCGAGAACAGAGAACCAAGAGAAATCCTAAAGTGAGATTCTCCATTAGAGTGCTAGGTCTATTGGTCATCTCCTTAAAGACCGTGCTTTTCACCCAGTTCCATTGAAGAACTCTCTAACAAAACAATTTGTTGGCATGGAAAAAGCAGACTGTTACCTCAATTTACCCATGCTCCTATCCAGGCCAGCAAGAACTTCCTTATCTTGGTGGATCATCACCGCAGCCTTTACAGTGGGAAGTTCTATCCTCTGGTCAATGTCCAGACTTCTGCAGATGCAGCTTTTGGCTGCTAGGTCCGTGGAGTGGCGCTCTGAACTCCGGTCTTTTGACCTGTTATTTTTGTGGCCTGTTAGCATAATTATTTTTGCCAAGTTGTTGCCCACCCCTTCATCTTCATTGCTTGAGGAAGTTCTGTGATATATTAATATGCTGCCTGTGTCCTGTACTCTGAGTAAAGTAGAACTAAAGGGAAAACGTTTTCATTTTGGATAGAGTAAAGGAGGGTTTTAAGCCCTGTCATATTTTTTTCTCCATCTGTGTCCCATTAGGAAGGATTCCCTTCACTTTCTGTTCTGTCCAGGGTGTCACCAGAACTAGTGTTTCTACACCTTGATTGGAGACCAGCTGAGGTAAATTAAATTGTTTGGACCTGATTTGGAAAGGCACACACCTCTCTATAAAAGGTGTCACAGCTGACAATACATGCTGTATCAGAACAAAAGCCACGAGGTCAAAGGAACTGCCTGCATAGCACAGAGACAGAATTATTGCAAGACACAGATCTGGGGATAGCTACAAAAACATTTATGTTGCATTGAAGGTTCCCAAGAGCACAGTGATCTCCATAATTCTCAAATAGAAGAAGTTTGCCACAACCGGGGCTCTTCCAAGTCACCTGGCCAAACTGGGCAAACTGGGGGAGAAGGGCCTTAGTAAGAGAGGTGACCAAGACCAAGAACCTGATGGTCACCCTGACTGAGCACCAGAGATCCTATGTGAAGATGGGACAGTGCTCCAGAGGGACAACCATACCTGCAGCCATCCTCCGATCTGGGCTCTATGGCAGAGTGACTAGACGGAAGCCTCTCCTCAGTGTAAAACACTGAAAGCCCGCTTGGTGTTTGCAAAGAAGCTTTTGCAGCATTCTTGGGGCTTTTGGATAACTACGCAAGTGAGGCTTCTACAGGTAAGTAACAAGGTCTGTTTAAAACAAATGTTTGACTCAATTAAAACTGCAGTAGAAGTAGATTTGTTTTTTGCTGTAAGCAGAGAACATGTTAGAAGTGGAATTCACCGCTAATGAATGTAAGAAAAACAAGTATACTAATATGATTATCACCTTGTTACATATGCATTTCACCAGGTTTGTTATTATTGCTGTTTAAAATGTGTTTTATTGCAGGGAAGAAATTTTCAGGCCGGCCCATGTGTACATTGTTGACCAACAAACGATACGAGTTGCTCTATAACTGCGGCATACAGCTCTTACACATCGGGCGACCATTGGCAGCTTTTGAATGTCTAATAGAAGCTGTTCAGGTTTACCATTCAAATCCTCGTCTGTGGTTAAGATTAGCAGAATGTTGTATAGCTGCTAATAAGGGGGTAAGTTCATTCTTCATTTGGGGTTTTTATGTTTCACAGTTTCTGTGAAATACATTTAAAGGAGAATTCTTTTAACCTCTGATTTTGTCTAATCTGGCTACGTTTTGTAATCTGATTACTATTATACTAAAATAATTTTCTTTTTATGGTGCTGCAATGCATTTAACTGCCAGAAACATGTGTATAATTGTGCATTTCAGGCAGAAAAAAAAATGCTGAGCTCTGATAATACAGTGAAACATTTCTTTGCTCTGTCCTATCATTAGTCTTGCTGTAAATCCACAAAAAGTAGTGCAGGGTAATGGTACATCCATTATGTCCATATGAAGTTATCTGGCACTGGATAGCTTCTAATTTTTCTGTTCGCTTTTCTTCCATATTAAAAAACAAAACCTGACTGATATAGCAGCTTTACCTGAAACAGATTCTTGCCTTTTATAGACTAGTGTGCTAGAGAGGCAGTTAACAATTGTATTTTAGGTAAGGCACTTACTTTTTGGACCTTATAAAGAGAAGGGTATTTTATTTGATGACTATTACTCTACTACAGATGTACATGTTGTCTATTAACTGCCTCAGCCATGGAATTGGGAGTCCTTGTGTCCCCTTGTGCCTTGGGACTTTTATACCCAGCTTGTGAGGCTTGCCAGCCTCTCAGTTACCAGAAGTAGCATCAACAGCTTAGTATGTTCCCATTTTTCAAGGCAGCAGTGAAGTGTGCAGGATACTTCTGGGTCAGGTCAAGACAATGGGATTTTTGGCTACCAAAATAATAACTTATTACCAAGCATTTCACAAATTTGAGTCTAAGCATCAATACTAATTATTTCATTGTACACACATTGCAATATTCTTTTACCATTGCTATTAGCAGTGCCTTAGTCTTCATTTTTCTCTTTAAGTGACTTCCAGGCACTAACTTTAAAAAAAAAAAAAAAAAAAAAAGTACTCGAGAGTCACAGTTTTAGTCACTTGACCAATTCTAGCCTTGCCCTGCCAGCAGTACTCATCATTGGCCACACCTCAGGCATGTGTGACATGTATTACAGTAATAGAAGGTAATCTTCACAGTCTAGATAAAAATACTTTCCAAGGAAACCGTTCAGTAGTAAGGTAATTGGACTTATTTTACACGTGTTTTCTGTTCCTTCTGCTGCTCTCTAGTGATGCACAGCTATCTGCTGCTCTCTAGTGATGCACAGCTATCTGCTGCTCTCTCTAGTGATGCACAGCTATCTGCTGCTCTCTAGTGATGCACAGCTATCTGCTGCTCTCTAGTGATGCACAGCTATCTGCTGCTCTCTAGTGATGCACAGCTATCTGCTGCTCTCTAGTGATGCACAGCTATCTGCTGCTCTCTAGTAATGCACAGCTATCTGCTGCTCTCTAGTAATGCACAGCTATCTGCTGCTCTCTAGTAATGCACAGCTATCTGCTGCTGTCTAATGATGCACAGCTACCGGCTGCTAGAGCAACCAAGCATGCGACAGTCAGTGAGGTGAATTGCCATAGAGCATTGCAAGCATGTTTTATGAGTGCATTCTTCTGCTTGCCAGTAGGGGGAGCTCTTAGTTTTTCCTTAGGACTGGTAAAAGCAAGGTTATATTGTGCTGCATGTCTCTTCTGACAACCTTGACATTTCACTTCTATAAAAAGCAGAAAAGGTTTATATTGTAGGAAACTAGCCAGTTCAAGTCCTTTTTTTTTTTTTTTTTTTTTTTTTTTTTTTTTTTAATTGCTGTTTTGAAAAACTCCAATTCATTTACTAGGTGTGTGCATTTGTTACAGGTCTGCAGATTTACTGGACATAGGGTTATAGGCCCTAGTTTACACCTGTGCAGTCTGTACCAGTGCAGTCAACAAAAGTAGAACATGTTGTATTTTTTTTTTCCTGTTTGGAACACATCTGGAATGCTGCAAAACGTATCAGAAATGCACTGGAATATATATGTCTTCAATTGAGATGATGAAAAATAAAATGGGAAAAACGCGAATGCAGAAACTCACCTGGAATGCAGAAATTGTGACCTGAACTAGCCCTTCTTAAACTTTAGGGTACATAAAATACCTTTACAGCTTAAAAGCTGTCCTATGATTAGAATTCACACTTCACATAAATCAGTTGAACACATCAGCATTTTCAAAATATATTAGTAATTTTAGTAAAAGTACTTCACATATAGTTGATCATGTTAACCACTTGCCGCCCAGCCACTGTAGATATACAGCGGCAGGGCGGCACTCGTAGGCAAAACCACATTTTAAACCGTGTGTTTTGTAAACAAATAGGGGGCGCGCGGCCGCCCTATATGTCCCGCCGATCACCGCCACAGATGTGAGTCGCCGGGTCACAGCCGGTCCTTAGCGGCTGTTTCCCGCGATCAGCGGCAAACAGTGACAGACAGCACAGCTGCAGTAGCTGTGCTGTCTGTCACTTTCCTGTCAGCTCGAGGATGAGCTGATCGAGAAAGAACAGTTTCTCTTTCTCGATCAGCCTTGTCCCGCCCAGTACACACCCCCCCGCCCCCTAGTAAAACACTCCCCTCACTCCTATAACCCTTCCCTGCAAAATAAAGTTAACCCCTTCCTCCCCATTGGCATTAGTACAGTGTCAGTGTTTTTTTTTGCACTGATCACTGTATTAGTGTTTTTGGGGATGTCAGTGACCCCAAGTCAGTACCCCCCATTGTCAGAATGTCCGCCTCAGTCCTGCCATAAGTCCCTGATCGCCCTGATCGCATAATTAGCTGATCGCCGCCATTATTAGTATAAAAAAAACCCCTAAAAATCCCAGTATCTTTCCCGCCATTTGTAAACGCTATAACTTTCACGTAAACCAATTAATTTACACGTATTGTTTTTTTTTTTAGCAAAGACATGTCGCAGAATGCATTTTGGCAGAAATTTATGACTAAATTTGATTTTTGCATTTTTTTTTACTGGACATGTTTTATAGCAAAAAGTCCAAAATATTGTTTTTTTTTCCTCAAAATTGTCAGCCTTTTTTTTTTATAGCGCAAAAAATAAAAACCGCACAGGCGATCAAATACCACCGAAAGAAAGCTCAATTTGTGGGGAAAAAAAGGATGTAAATTTCATTTATGTACCGTATTGCATGACCGCGCAATTGTCCGTTAAACTAGCGCAGTGCTGTATAGCAGAAAAGTGGCGTAAATTGCAGTATTTATACCATAGTTTGTAGACGCTAGAACATCCACACAAAGCAATCAATTTACACTTATTGGGATTTTTTTTTTACCAAAAACATGTAGCAGAATACATTTTGGCCTAAATTTATAACCAACTTTGAGTTTACTATATATTTTTTATAGCTGAAAGTAAAAAATATTGTTTTTCTTCAAAATTTTTGGCCTTTTTTTGTTTATAGCGTGAAAAATAAAAAGCGCAAAGGTGATCAAATTACACAGAAAGAAAGCTCTATTTGTGAAAAAAAGGACGTAAATTTCGTTTGGGTGCAGCATTGCATGACCGCGCAATTATCAGTTGAATTAGTGCAGCGCCGAGTAGCAAAAAGAGGCCTGGTCATTAAGGGGGTAAATCCTCTGGAGCTCAAGTGGTTAAGCATTAGCTTTGTGGAACATTTTACACAAGTTCTATGTTTCTAATTGTCTCCATAATCTAATACTTTATTAACTGCTTCCCTGCTGTGCTATGGCCGAAAGATGGCTACAGCGTGGCTCTCCAGTTTTGAGAAAACGTCCATGGAAGTCCTCCCACGTGCATGTGTTCTGCGTGCCCCCTGGGGCTCACTTTGTGACCACTGTGTCCTTTGGATGCAGCTGATCACAGATTGTGATAAAGGACCAATCACAGCGGCCCTTTACGATGTGATCAGTTGTGTCCAATTACAGCTAGTCACATGTAAATAGACTTGCGAGTTATCGGTAGTTCTTTCCTCTCACGCTGTCTCTGTGTGCGAAAAGGAGAGCCGATAACCAGCAAATCTGACTTAGACACAGTGAGTATGTTCTTTACATTGATAATGAGGGCACTGATCCAGTGTCCTGAGGATCAGTGCAGCTTTTCAGTGCCATCTCAAGAGTGCAGCCTCATCCGTGCCCCCCAGTGCAGCCCCATCAGTGCCCATCAGTAAAGAAGAAAAATTACTTATTTGCAAAATTTTATAACAGAAACTTAAAAAGAAAACATTTTCAGTCCTTTTTTTTTCTTTGTTTAGCAAAAAAAAAAAAAAAAAAAAAACAGTGGTGATTAACCACTTGCCGACTGCCCACAGTGCTTTTACTGTGGTACTGTGGGCGGCATGTATAGGCAAAGTGACGTACCCTTATGTAAGTTTGCCTGTACAGACACATAAGGGGGGGCTCTGTAAAGTCTTCCTTTACTAGTGAGCTGTGCTTGGCCCACAACTCACATGGTACCTGGGCCAGTCACCGCTCCCTGTACCATGTAATTAGCTGTTGCCAGTCACAGATCACTAGTATTCACTGCAGTCATGAGCTTAAGCCATTCATGACAGTTCAAAGCATTGCAGGTAAAATGATCTTCATTGTACAAAGCAATGAAAGTGTAATAAAAAAAACCCCCAAAAAAACTAGTCACCCCCAGAGTAGTAAAATGGTACTATGGTAACATTGAACTACTCTGATGAAAGTAAAAAAAAATTGTAAAAAAAGTTTAAAAAATAAAATATTGCATAAAAAATTATTTTATATTTTTTTTTTTCTTGTTACACATGCTGTCATCAGTCAGTGTCCCTGATCACCGCCACACCAGTCATGTCATATGACGCTGTACTGCTGTGGTGAAAGCATGTATATATAAAAAAAAAAATGGGTAGAAAAACAAATTTTATTGTCTTCATTTTCCAAAAAATTGTGACAAAAAAATTGCAGCTTCAAAAAACTTGCCATTCCTCTTATTAAATATGTCAAACCTTCTACTTTCCAAAAAGCGGTAATTTGGGAGATATTTGTACTGTCCTGACATTTTAACAGCCTCAAGAGATGAGATTGGCCATC